AGGAGACCTAACCGATCGACAAAGGTTAGATCAACTCTTCAACAATATCGACCTGCAACACGGTTCTGCGACAGACATGTTGCAACGGATGAGAGAGGTTATAGGCCCAAGAACTTTCGACGAAGGCCTATTCAAACAACTCTTCTTGTCAAAACTTCCCCAACAGGTGCAAGCAGTTCTGGTATCGTTCCAGAACAACGCCTTAGACGAGCTAGCTGCATCTGCCGACCGCATATTAGAAATTACGAAATCTACTACCGAGGTATTTTCAGTCAAAGAAAAACCTCAAACGACTCAGAATGATATAAACGACTTATGTCACACACTCACGCGTTATCTTAGTCTTCGTAACGACCGTAAGAGATCGCGCACACCACGTAGAAGCATTTCTCGTAAGCGATCTGTCTCTAGACCACGAGAGACAGATAACCCCGACTGGTGCTGGTATCATAACCAGTATGGAAAGCTTTCCAGAAATTGCAGAAAACCCTGCAATTTTCCCAACACGAAACCGACTGATTCGAAAAGCAATTCGGGAAACTTCCAAGCCGGCACGCGTTAACGGCAACCGTAGCCGGCGAACAAAGCCGTCTGTTATTCGTCACAGATGTGACAACGAGAGTTCGCTACCTCGTCGACACTGGCGCAGAAGTTAGCGTTCTCCCAGCGATTCCTAACGACCGACTACACGAATCGACCCTAAACTTACAGGCGGCAAACGGAAAACCGATCGCTACGTATGGCAAAAGGTACGTTTACCTTAACGTGGGTTTACGCAAACCCATCCACTGGATTTTCGTTGTTGCAGATGTTTCTATGCCAATCATTGGTATGGACCTTCTACAACACCACAATCTGATCATCGACACCCGCAAACGGAGGCTAGTAGACGGAAACACTAATTTGTCCGTTTGCGTAACTTCTTTTACTGGTTGTAGAGTATCCCCAGTCACAGTTAAACATATGATAGACCCACTCTATCAACCACTACTCGATAAGTACCCTGAGATACAACAAACTCAAACGAAACTACCGTGTGTAACCAGCAATGTTACACATCACATCACGACTACAGGACCACCTGTATTTTCTAAAGCACGCCGACTAGCTCCTGAAAAGCTAAGGTTAGCGAAAAACGAATTCGATCACATGATGGACTTAGGAATCATACGACCGTCAAGTAGCCCATATGCATCTCCGTTGCACATGGTCCCTAAAAAGGACAGCAACGATTGGCGTCCAACTGGTGACTATCGGCGATTGAACGCGAAAACCATTCCCGATCGTTACCCGTTGCCTCACATTCACGATTTGACAGCTACCTTGAAAGGTACAACTGTTTTTTCGAAAATCGACTTGGTTAAAGCGTATAACCAAATCCCTATGGCTACTGACGACATACCAAAAACAGCTATCATAACTCCTTTCGGACTCTATGAATTTTTGAGAATGCCTTTCGGTCTAAGGAATGCTGCTCAAACATTCCAAAGATTCATAGACGACGTTTTTCGAGGTCTCAACTTCGTACACGCGTATGTTGACGACTGTCTAATCGCAAGTCCGGACAGAGAAACACATCTCAAGCATCTGGATCTTGTTTTCGAACGACTTCAAAAACATGGCATAACTGTAAACGTTCAGAAATGCCAATTCGGAACCAACTCGTTAGACTTCCTAGGACACACTATCGATGCTCAAGGCATTCGACCTCTTAGGACCAAAGTGGCGGCCATTCTGGATTACCCAGAACCGACCACCGTCAAGCAATTACGCACGTTTAACGGCCTGGTAAGTTTCTATAGACGTTTCATACCGAAATGCGCATTACTCATGAAACCTCTAACCGACCAACTTCGTGGAAATGCGAAATCCATTAATTTGGACGACACCGCACGAAAAGCATTCTCCACAGTTAAGGAACTGATTGCTAAAGCAACAATGCTCGCACATCAGGACACCCGAGCACCCATTAGCATCGCAGTAGACGCATCCGACTCGGCAATCGGAGGAGTCTTACAACAATGGGTTAACAACTCCTGGCAACCCTTGGCATTTTTCTCTAGACGGTTGCTAGACACCGAATCGAGGTACAGCACATTCGGTAGGGAACTCCTAGCTATGTATTGTGCTGTACGGCATTTCCAACACTACATCGAAGGTCGTGAATTCACTCTTTTTACGGATCATAAACCGCTTACTTTCTCGTTAAGCTCTCCTTCTGACAAGTACTCTCCCCGTGAGTCTCGACAACTGGACTACATTTCGCAGTTTACTTCAGATATTCAACACGTCTCTGGAGCAAACAATGTAGTTGCAGACGCTTTATCTCGTATAACTTCCTTGAACAGTTTCCAAGGAATCGACCTTCTTAAACTCGCCGAGCTTCAAAAAGAAGACACTGATCTTCAGCACGAGTTATCGTCCACAACACTTAAACTACGCATCAAACAGATGGGAACAGGTAAGGAAACCTTACTTTGTGACACATCTACAGGTAGGGATCGCCCAATCGTGCCGAAACATTATCGACGCAATGTCTTCAACACATTGCACAAACTTTCGCATCCAGGTGTTCGTGCAACCATCAAGCTTATAGCAGAAAGGTTTTGCTGGCCTGGAATGAATAAAGACGTGAGGGAGTGGGCACGCTCCTGTGTAAGCTGCCAAAAATCTAAGGTTATCAGACACAACAAATGTCCCTTAGGCTCGTTTAAAACTCCCGATGCTCGTTTCGACCATGTTCATCTGGATTTGGTAGGACCTTTACCAGATTCAAATGGATACTCTTATCTCCTAACCTGCGTAGACCGTTTCACTCGATGGCCAGAAGCAGTACCTATCAAGGACATCACTGCTGAAACAGTGGCTCGCACCTTCGTCGAACGATGGGTAGCAAACTTCGGCTGCCCTTCAACCATCACTACAGACCGCGGACGTCAATTTGAATCTGATCTTTTCCGTCGTCTGACCACTCTTTTAGGAAGCACTCGCTTCCGAACGACCGCCTACCATCCACAAGCAAACGGGTTGGTAGAACGTTTTCACCGACAACTGAAAGCTTCGCTATCAGCTACAAACGTTTCACAGTGGACCGACGCTCTTCCACTCGTCTTACTAGGTATCCGCAATGCAGTGAAAGCTGACATTGGATACACGGCGTCTCAACTCGTTTATGGTACGACACTTCGACTTCCAGGAGAATTCGTGGATCCTTCATCCTCTTCAATGAACATGGATCTAACCTCCTACACGAACAGGCTTACAAACGCAATGCGTTCAGTTAAACCTGCTTCCACCCGACCTCAATCGACTGATGTTTTCGTTCAACCTGACTTACGATATAGTACACACGTTTTCGTTCGTCGAGACTCGCATCGACGACCCTTCGAATCAGCATACGAAGGACCCTTCAAAGTTCTTCAACGTGAATCTAAGTACTATATAGTCGATAAGAACGGAACCAACGATAGCATCAGTATCGATCGCTTAAAAGCAGCGTATTTAGAAGGAAATCCTATCTACGTGGATTTTCCTTCGGTACAATTGAACGACACGACTCCGACACTTATAATACCTCATCCGACAACCAACACACACGATGATACTTCGACAGTATCCGAAAATAAACTTAAAACGACGCGTTCTGGAAGAAGGGTGAGATTTCCAGAACATCTAAACGACTATTGCACGTAAGGCACTTCTCGACATTTTATATTATTTTTAAAAAAAAAAAACAATTTTAATATGCTTATATATTTTTATTTCTATTTAAAAAAAAAACAAAACAAAAAAACAATTTTTTTAACGCTATTACGTGTTCATGAGTTTATTTTCCTTTTTTTTTTCCGCCGACATTGTGCTTTGACGCACATACGAGTGTATTTCGACATGCACTTACATTTTCTTTTTTCTTTTCCAGGACGGCTGGAAAAGAACGATGACGTTTATGAGGATCCGAAATTTTCCATGTACATTTTCTTTTTTTACTATGTTGTACCTCCGTCCCATATAGTAAGGAAAGACGACCAGACGCTGCTAAATTTAGTAAGCTATCAGAAGAGTGTTTACCAACGACAAACTCGTTGGGTTTAAACTTCTGGCTGGCCACGTCTTAGGGTCGTCACTGCCCCACTAGGGGGGGAGTGATCTGTAGCGGTAAATAAATCCCCAAAATAAATAGCACTAAGTTTTCGACATTGGATGCTGACCATATGTTTTAGTGGACTCACCTAGCTGAAGGCGCTCGGTCAGTCATCCGCACCAGATCACGTGTGGTAACGCCGTGCTCAACATCAACCGCAATCGCTAGCCAGATTAGATCAGAGAATTCCGATATATTGGTCATCGCCAAATATACTCTTCCGATCTCCTCGACTCTGTCTTTTGATTTCTCTGGGCGGGAACGAAATATATTAGAAGGTGTTACTGGTAGAAGCGTTGTCAAACACTGAATACCTGTGACATCATCAACACTTTGAACGTGCACACTTGTAGGGCTTATAAAACATGTTCTAAAAGGTCAAGAAACTTGATAAATGCTCTCAAAGGTGAATCAAAGTCGTGGATGTTCCTCAATGTGTCACTAGATAGGCCAATTGAAGGAGAAACTAATTTCTGGTTCAGGAGGATCAAAAGACTTTCGAATTTGGTGATAACTCACAGTGACAATTCCATTTGCCGGTGATCTATCCACGTTAAGAAACAGTTTTTTAGAGTTGAAACTTCGAGGTTAGCCCAGTTGTGCAGGAGTTTTGTCTCTAGAGGATTGTACTCAAACATGCGAACCTGAACTACTTTTCGATTATTCAGGGATCTGAGATGTCAAAATAACAACTAAAAGCCAATAGTGGAGTTGCTAGTGACAGAGCAATATGGATTTTCCTTCGTTTAAAGCAACATAAAGAAGATATCGTAATCATATGCTATTTCTTCTAGTCAACTTATTGGACATTAGAAACAAATAACGTCCACGTTTAACTCTTGCGTTACCCCTAAAAAGCATGGGGCAACGAACTGATCTTGGGTTTTCTGACTTGAAGTCGCAAATGCCATCTTTAGTAGACATACCAGGGGAAGAAACAAAGATTCTAGACTTTTGGAAGAGTCATGATGCATTCAAAACGTCCTTGAAACACTCTTCCGGAAAACGTCGGTAATCATTTTGTGATATTATATCTAGGGCCTTATAATCTCCCAATGCTTCTTCGCCTCAGCATTTTGTTTTGTATTTTAGGTTCACATTTTATGATGGCCCGCCATTCGCCACAGGTCTACCACATTATGGCCATCTGTTAGCTGGGACAATAAAGGATATTGTAACACGTTACGCTCATCAGAGAGGTCATCATGTTGAACGTAGGTTTGGATGGGACTGTCATGGATTACCTGTGGTTAGTTAATCTTTTTGATCCTATTTAAAAGGAGTACGAAGTTGACAAAGAGCTTGGAATTACGGGCCCCCATGATGTAGAAAAAATGGGAGTAGCCTGCTACAATGATAAATGTCGAGCAATTGTCATGCGTTACAGTTCTCAGTGGGAAGTAAGTTTTTATATTAAAAGCTTATGTGCAGAAAGTAACAAACCGCCTTGGTCGGTGGATTGATTTTGAAAATGACTACAGGACTATGTATCCGTGGTTTATGGAGTCTGTTTGGTGGGTCTTTAAACAACTGTATGATAAGGGTTTGGTGTACCGTGGTCTAAAAGTAATGCCGTTCTCAACTGCATGTTCAACCCCTCTTTCAAACTTTGAGGCAGGACAAAACTACAAAGACGTTCAAGACCCTGCTAGTAACTTATTATTTCTCATCGACTACTTAAAAAGTTATTGTTAGCTTCCCATTAGATAATGATCCTGAAACTTCAATGATAGCTTGGACAACAACTCCTTGGACTCTTGTTAGCAACCTTGCTCTGTGCATGCACCCTGATAAAGAATATGTTAAGATTTTGGGTAAGTGAAGAGTTAATTTAATTGCAAATGATGAATTGTCGAAGTAACTATTGTCTTTGCTAGAGTACACAGTGACATTTTTCACACTATCAATATTTCTACACTCATTAATATAGTTTTTAAGCCCCACAAATTGAAAGGAATAGATTTCTCAGACCCGTAACCATTTTGTGCAATTGTTAATTAAGCTTAAACCAATCGTATTCGTTAAGATTTTTGACCACTGCCAAGTATGCTTACTTATCATCTCTTCTTGACTCTTCTTTCTGCTGCTTATTTTGCCTTATCACTGATTCATTCTCTTCCCAATATTGTTTTAAGATGTGGGAACTTAAAGTTAATCACACTTGTATAAGGTTTTGTGTTGGTATCTCTTATTATTCTTTATTTAGAGATGTTTCAGTTATTTGGCAGTGAATCGATAACAACGTAAATAGCTTTCAGTGTGTACTCGTTCCGAATTAACACTTAACATTCTTCCTTCTTTAATCAGATACATCCAAAAATCGAAAATTCATTATGATGAAGGCTCGTCTTACATCAGTATATAAACAAGAAAATGAATACAAAGTATTAGATACGTAAGTCATGGATATTTTCTTTGTGCTTTTAAACGTTTTATAAATTAATGCACCTTAAAAACTACGATAATGATTATCTTAGCGACCGAAATTAAACAACCCCAGCGTTTTATCCGGCAATCCCGGTCGAAGCTGCTACCTTGACGCGGTGGTCGGGCTTGCCTATCGTGATGACCCAACCGAGCTATATTGGCTGGAACATATGTTCCTGCAGGTTCTACCATGCCAGGCAGGTCGGTTGGTGAACGGTAAGACTAAAAGCAGCAACTCAAGGTCTGAGGGCGAAGTCGTACTGCTGACTGTAGAGGGGTGTGACAGCAGTAAGGTGTTTCCCTCGGACATCCAGCATGACAGCGATGCTGCCTTCCCACAAGGAGGGGTGGGGTTAGAAAAGGTCGACCCTAAAAATGTCACACCTCACCTTACCTCACGGATTTCCGTCTCCGGCGGTAAGGCCCTTTGAAGAACGGAGCTAACACGCCAAAAACCTTCCACAAAAAGGCCGTGCGCGACCGGCCTCAAGCAGTTGTCCCTTGGGCTCTGCGGTCACGCTCCCAGGTCCTCAAGACCAACACTAATCCAATTTTCTTTTCAGGTTCCTCAAGAAATACCCTTCCACGGTGTGGGCAGCCGGGAAGTGATATCAGCCCTCATACTCGTAACAGCACAAGAGACCAAGGTGGTCACATTCAAATCTTTCCTACACCTTCTAATACCTCTCTTACCTCCCCGACTAACCCTCCCCACGTCTCTTTATCGCCTCGCACCGCTAGGGCAAACGATTCGAGTACGTGGAACGCCATTCCTGGTCTCCTGAAACCACGCTCTAAACTACACGTAGGAGCTTTTAACGTACGAACACTGCCAAATAGGACAGCAGGCTTCCTTAGCTAAAACTTTAGAATCTCGCGCCATCGATGTATGCTGCGTCTCCGAAACGCGCATACAGGATCCAAGTAACGTCATTCATTTGACCTCACCATGCCAAAATAAAGAACCGACTCGACTTTATCCGGCAATCTGGCCCGCGCTTCTCCAGGGGAATAATCCGACTTATCAAGGGTAAGTAATTTAATAATCAATTCTGTACTAACTGCTTGTCCGCTTATGTGCACATGTTGACTAAACGAGGATTTAGTACATAGTTGCTTTTAATATCTCTGATAATTTTGATTGTTTTCCTAACTTAGGTCTATTTAGATTACTGGGCAAAATGTTGGAGCTGTTTAAATTCGGTCGCTATGACTTTTGCTAATATAGCTTTCTTTTTAATGTCTTCCATACACCCGGCACCCAACTGTTGTAAAGTGACTAAATCCAAATCGCTTGGAAATTCCCATAAAATGCTGTTGTATCAGTTTTTCAGACGTTTTATTCCAATTTTTAACTTTTACCGATAGCAGGATTTTGTGATAACTTTCCATCAACATAGAACTAATTACTTTGAGAATTTAATAATCTAAAAATTGTGTTTTATTGTCGCTTACAATAATTGTGTTTTCTAAATGGTGATATCCACCGTAACATTTTATTTAGGTCCTAAATTGTCAAATAATATTTGTATTCTCTTTGCAACATCTGTTATAGTAGTTGTCATTGTGTTTTACCAGTTGATCAAAAAACACTTAAGATATATGTTTTAGCGTGATGACAATGTGGTTGGAGCTTTTGTGATTCATTTGTAACACTGGGTCTCTATTTTTCACTGTAAACCGGTGGATTAGTAGATAAAACACTCAACTCCCAACTAGTTGTTCAAAGGTTCGACTTCCGTTCCACCTAACGTGGTTTAAAACGCTGGGTATTATCATTACTTCTTGCATAAGCAGTGTAAAAAGCGGAGTAAATGGAATTTGTTTTGATAGATAATGGGCACCATAGTGTCTCTTACCTGTCATTGAGCACTATGGAGTGTTTCTTGTCATAAGATAATCATTTAGGAATTATTTGTGCTAAAACGTATTAATCTAAAAAAAATTGTGTCGTTTTAACTGAACCTATAAAGTAAGTAGTGTGGACCGGATTTATCTGATTGATTTAATCTGACTTTTTCCAACGACAATCGGTTTATTACTACGACTACACGGTTGTTGTAGTCAATAATACCTACTACACATTCCTTTATATCAATTATTGTACCGAATATAATGAGGGAAATTAAAAACGTATGTACAGTTCGACAGTAGGTAGTCGAATTAGTTCCACTTTCTTATACTAATCCTTTTCCAGTTGTAGCTGAACTGCGCTGATCTTTTGGAGTATCGAATTGACCAAGAATCGTTATCGGTTCCCATTTAGGTAGTATTAGTCAGTTACGTGCATTTTGTGGTTAAAATACCTAACTTTCAACCATTAAGTCACAGGATCAAATCCCTAACTACCCGTATCGATTTGGATATCTAAGTGTTATCAGCCCTCTTATAGAACATATAAATGTAGGTCGAGTTTGGTAACCCTCAGTTGACTTCGAGTTACGTGATAATGTGTATTCTATACCATTGGCCCCCAAATGTCTTGGTATGGTCGGGGATGCGGAACCCACTCTCCCTCTCCGAATGCTCTCACATGGTCACGGGTGTATGGTCATAGCCGCACAGGTCCCACTCACTGCCTTCTTGCACCACGAGTGTTGTTTACAAAATTGAGAGAACGAAAAACAAATGTCCGGCGCTTTAACCGGGTTGTGGGTACGAAGGATCCACCTAGGGAAGTTGGAAAACTTTGATTCCAAACCAATCGTGCACATCGGCTCCAGAATCCTGAGGGAATAAATGGAGTATGAACCTGTTGTTGATCACCGGCTACCATAAAACTGCATCTCCTAAAGTTGCTTCAATGTCTTGTGGGTTAGACCTTTAAGTCAAATGTTCGTGGAGTAGCCTCTTAAGAAAACCACTTCAGTTTGGGTGCCCGGAAATTATCTCAGCCCTCGCACAAACCGAATAGTTTGTGAGGCGTATATGTTCTTAGTGCCTCCTTGTACCAATGTTTATGTTAAACTGAAATATAACATAAAAGAACTAAGAATTATTACTCATTTGATCCTCTGAGATCAGTCTTCTTGTTATTAACCATTTATCATGTGAATTAGATGATTAGGTGGATATTATTCTGTTTGTGTGCAAGAAAACAAACAAACGTAATACTACTCGACATAAGCATATCAACAAATTTCATGCCACTTCCTAACAGCGTTTAAAAGTTTCTTCGGTCGTTGTCGATTGTTTCAGTACTAACAAAAAGTGACCTATTTTTGCTGTTACTTTTTAACTGTAGCTTCAAAGGAAGATCCATGGAAGGCCTAACATATCAACCACCATTCAGTTACTTTATACATGTAAGTTAAATTCTTGTAATAACTCATTTTAGGTTTCGTTCTGTTGATGTAGCTCTCATGCTTTCTAACGTAAAAGTATAACTACACTTCTTCTTGGGTAATGTATGGGATCACGACTCACTTATAGCATCTCTGGCTATTGACCTCATGATTATGAACAACAGTAACGGTTATTGAGCCGAGGTTGTGAGACAGCCAAAATGAACACGTAGATGTTATATTTTCTTTTATTTGGCAAAAGTGTATTATTTTATTTTATTTTAACACATAGATATTGGTACAAGAAGGCGCCAAATACATATGCGCCACACAAATCTCATTCGATATGTGTGAGGGCTGTGATACTGCCCGGGTGCCCAAACCGAAGCAGGTGGTTTTCTTAGGGGGCCATTCCCCGAGCCTTCGACCTGAAGGTCTGATCCACAAGGCAGTGGAGCATCGTAAGGAGATGCAGTCCCATAGAAGCCGGTGACCAACAATTGGTTCATACGCCTTTTGTTCCCGCAGGATACTGGAGCCCATGTGCACCATTGGTTTGGAATCCGGTTAAAGCGCCGGACATTCACTTTTCGTCCTCTCATTTTTGTAAACAACACCCCCGCCACGAGAAGGCAGTGAGTAGGACTTCCCTGGCAGAAGCTATATACGCGTGGCCATGTGAGAGCATTTCGAGAGGGAGAGCGGACTCTCCCCACTCGGCCGTATCAGGGCATGTAGATGTTATATTTTCTTTTATTTGGCAAAAGTGTATAAACAGAATTGACTGAAACAAGTTTTGAATCCCTTATCTAAAAAAGTTTAAACTACTTTATTTTATTAGATGATTTTCAAAACCATGTATAATCCTTTCACAAGTACCCATGTATTTTCAATCTCTCAGTCAACAATCACGGTGGCAAGTATATCATTCAGCGTTTTTTTCGGTGGTTTGCATGGAGCTTAGGATTAAGAAATAATACAGGCTAGTGTATATCTAGTCACTTGTGCTGTTAAATTGCATGAAAGTACACAGCGGTGAAATAATTAACTCGTTCATCAGTTATGATTCATAATGTTAGTACAAGGGCCATTGATATTACTTGTTTACCTGAATCGAATTAAGTGGACTGTAGTTTGAACCTGGGACTCAATACCCCAAAGTTGAACGCCTCAACCACTAAGCCACTACTCCACAATAGTGTACGACTATTCATCGTTTGTGCTCCGATTCGCTATCTAAACACGAATTCCCTATTTCAACATGCATCTACCAATAATGGATTGTATGGATTTAGTTTTTAGCGAGGTCCAAGTCTATGAGAACGCATAAGCATTTCTTTTATCAGCTGTTCATTCTGGTCTTATAGTCCATAATCAATTAGTAAAGATTGTTAGTATTTTATTACATACAGTCCTACATATTTTAATCTTTTATTGAATTTTTTAAAAATTTATCTTGGGAATGTTATAGCTTAAAAAGGAACGAGGTGCATTTCGTATTTTATGTGATACCTATGTAACAGAAGATGTTGGTACTGGTGTTGTACACCAAGCTCCTTACTTTGGTGAGGTGAGTACGATATAGTTGATCTTTTTTCCAAAATCATACTTATCTTCAGTTTGTAGCGTTGATATATCTAGTTGATTGATTACCTCAACCTTTATATTGTTTCGTTTCTGCCACAGAATCAGTGCAGCTGATATATATATATCGAAAACAGGATAAACTATTTCTAGTCAGTTTTAAAGTTGTTACTTTATCTTTTTACATTCATCAGCATCAATTAAAATGTTGATTGGCGCTACTGAATTAAATTTTTCTACTTAAAGGTCCCCATACGTCTGTGTTATTATCTTTGTTATTATCAAAAGGTTAGCATTTGGTGTTTGTGATGTTAATCACACGTCAAGGAAAGTCTATCTTGAAAATGATGGATGGAACTGAATTTAAAGTTGACCGTGGTAAAAGATCGTTGTACCAGTAAAGGGTATGTAGACGGGCATTATTACTTGTTACATAGTGACACTCAGGTAGGAGGTACAAAAGATGAAGCTAATAAGCATTCACTAAGTTTATCTCCAACAATGTACATTTGGGGATGATGCATATTCAGTTAAGGTTTAGAGACAAGAAATTTACAAACTGTACTTTTCTGGATAGTATTGTCAGTGCAATTTTGATAAGGGCATACAGTTGGAAGTTGCCTGAGTTAAGGAACGTTCAAGTATCTGTCTGATACCGGCAGTGAGTGGTAGTAAAATATTGAAGTTTACAAGCAAAACTTTTGAGGTATGCTCCTTAGGCGAAACCGAATATGTCAACATCAACGGGACTCTATTTGTTGGGAGGATACCGCGACACAAACCAGAAAAATTTACGAAGAACAGTCTAAAGAAGTAACCACACTTGACGAACTTACCTTTAGGTAATCTGATCACTATCAAAGCATTATTGCTAATAATTAATTATGTTGTATATACCTGAAGCATATCGGGTATTAGACCAATGGCTTGAAGGGCGAAAACACCTGTACACCATTGCAATATCACTCAGGTGGAGGGTCTTCGGGTCGATATTTTATCCGAAATTCGGGAAAGGAGTCGCAAATTGTCATCTGGTATATTCAAACTGAGAAGGGGGTGACTGAGGAATCCAGTGGTATGGGACTGTTGGGATTACAAGAATCTTGATTTCTACAGTACTGAACATTACTTTTTCTAACAGACATAGTCAACAGTTTGTACAACCACCTTGTACAATGAAATTGTCAAATAGATGTTGATGCCATACGAGTAACATTGTTCTATTCAAAAAGTGTTTAGATCAATTCAATTTATTCCAATGGTAAGTAGTCAAATTGTCAATAACAATAAACGTCTGTAAAATACAGGGAACGTGTTTCAGTCTCAGGGACATGAAAAAATTAATCAATGCACACATGAGCAATAAAAAGAATAATAACCCAATATGGAAGCCACCAGAATACAAAAGTTTGTTAAAACCCTTAGGAAATCAATGAAGTGGTTAACAAAACTAGTTTGTAGATAAAGTAATGATAATAACTTCAAACAAATAAGAAGATGAACAATAATAATGTCAATGCAGAGATTTAGCGAAGTAACTTTACATATGAAGAGCAATAATGAAATGATGCTAGATGAAATGTATGAATGAGAGGTTGATGAATGGGGATTTCCACATATATACATGCAAATAAGATCTTACAGTTTGTGGGCTGAGAATTCCGCTCTCTACTTGAACTCTATCTTACATTCGTTTATGTTACGTTCTTCTAATCTGTTTCTAGCTATAACAAAACCATGTCCTCGTACCGAACGAATACTGAAATGTAAATCAGGTCGATTGATCATGTTTGTTTCTTATCATATATTACTGAAGACATTGTACTGTAAAATATGATAACTGATTTCTTCAATGATTTGAACACTTGGATTTTAGTTATTTGACGTTGCCCATTTTGTACGTATTACATTGCCTTCAATCCAGGCAACTAATTTGTATACATTTGGTTGTTGAACTGTATAATTCCTTTTTAACAGCTACATATCAATAATGTATATTCTCGTTTGTTTTTTGTCTTCTCTCCAACATTTATCAGGATGATTTTCGTGTGTGTCTGAAAAACGGTATTGTTGGGAAAGATACACCGATGATTTGTCCTGTAAATCCAAACGGTCGATTCACTGATGAAATTAAAGATTTTGCTGGGATGTATGTAAAAGATGCGGATAAGCTTATTTGTCAGAATTTGAAAAAAAATGGCCGTTTAGTACATCAAAGTACAATTACTCACAGTTATCCATTTTGTTGGAGGTAAGTAATTTATTCATTTTGCTTATCTTTACAAGTTGAAAGTAAGTAAAGCGACAAATTATTAACTATTTAGGAGAGAGGAATAGTTTAACTTTCTACTAGTTAAACAGAGAATGATAACTGCTGGTTATTCACATTGTGCGACTCGTTTAAGACACTACTACATGATCGTGTTAGTTGCGTTTGTGAATCTACATTGGATTTTAAACTTGTAATCAAGTGATTAATTAGGATGGATGTTGCTCTTCAATAAAAATTTCAGCTAAAATCCGGCGAGCATTAGTTTTTCACCGTGGAACATAATGTTGATTCTGTTTCAGTGTCTTTGACAGTTTATCCCATATGTTGAGTCAGCTGACACCACAACTTACTTGCTTCCAAATATATTTCTATGGGTCAGTGGTGCCCCGATTCCTTCTCAATATAAATAACAACCCGGTATTTCCAGGATTTACTCGATAAATGTCTAATTAAAATGCCCTGATAAAAGGTCTATGCACTTGGGACTCTCTAACGATATTCGTATCTTCCATACTAGGGCATTAAGTGTGATTCCATTTTCATGGTCAGAAATAAATCTAGCAACTGGTTTGAGTACTACATCAAGTTTATCTGGAAAACCATAAATTAATCACTGGAATAATTCCATAGTTTCTACTTCCATTAGTTCCCAATATGTGCGCTTTTTAACTACGATCTGTTGTGCTAACAATCTGTTGTAGATAAGCGTGTTATAAGTCTACTCTACTGGGCATGTATATAATCTGATACCAGTTCGACTATGGGCTCATATCAATGACTCAGTCCCGTGACCAACCATCACTTGACCACATTGTATATTTGTCGTTTTTAGCTATCGTTATTCTGATACTGAAATACATGCTTCCTATATGTGAGGGCAATCTGCCACCTAAGTGAGGAAACCAAGAGTGGGAAGTTGTTATTAGCTAACGCAGATCAAAATATGTGCACAAATGTACTCATTCAAATAGATGTGTCTCCTAGAAGATTAGGACAAATTTTCAATCAATGTCGTATGTGTCTCCCTCGGATAATCGAATTAAAGCTTGACTAATAACATGTACTCGTCAGAATCTCTCACGTTAAACTGTCTGAACCCAGGACGTACTGTCTTCCCCTCGATAGCTCATCTATTATCGATTAATGTGAGTAGTACGACTATTCTAGGCATTTATTTTAAAGAGGGAGAGAGTTAAAGTGGCACCAATCCACATATAATTTGAAGAATGTTTGAATTATAAGATAAGTATATTATCAGTAATCGTCTCATGTTGATTATAAAATGATTATCATATTCGTAGAATGACATCATTTTTTAAAAATGAACTCCCAAACACTCAATACTAGTTATTTCATGTGATACATAATCTCTTATTGAACATTTCCGACTTATTTGTTATTAGTCATACGTTACATTTTTATTTCGAAATATAGTAGTCCACAAATTCACATCGTATAATGATCATTTCAATATTAACAAATAATCAAAGATGGTTGGTGCCTAGCAGTGGGATCCAGCATGCGCGTTTCGTCCTACTTGGGACTCATCAGCTTGGTGCACCTTCCTCTCAGAGTTGACTTTCACTCAACTAGGAAGAAACTCGCGTCCTGGATTCCACTGTTAGCCACCAACCATCTTTGTTTACAATGCTTGTGATTTAAGACAGTATCGAGGCAATCCGCACAGGATGCATATATGCCGATAAGAGACTGATCAATTGCAGTCTTAAACATCAATGGGAAGATTCAAACAAACAATACCAAGTGAAATTAACAAATAAATTTACCATCTTAAATGTATATCGTGTATTTTGAAAAAATGTACTTACCTTAAATCTATCTGTTCATTTTGACTGTTAATTTGAACTCATAGTCCATCTGATAATCTGAATAGTGACCAATGTCTTGTTTATTTATTATTTTTTCTGTTCTGCTCGCATTCTATCGATTACGTTGTAGTCACTAGTCTAAGTGGCTTGACATAATCGCATACACTATGTTATGATTTGTTGATGCGGGTTTGAATCGTACAGGTTGTATCAGTTCACTGAGGATTGTATTTTATATTTATTTATTTAAACATAAACATTGGTATAAGGAGGCGCCACACTTCATCATTAGATGTGAGAGTTGGAATACCAATCGGGCACCCAAACTGAAGTAGGTGGTTTTCTTAGGGGGTCACTCCCCGAGACTTTGACCTAAAGTTTTAATCTGCAAGACGTTGGAGCAACTTTAGGAGATGCAGTCTCATGGTAGCCCGTGACCAACAATATGTTCATGCACCCCCCCAGAATCCCGGAACCCATGTGCACCATTGTTTTGAAATCAAGGTTTTCCAACTTCCCTAGGTAGATTCTCCATATCCACTAACCCAGTTAAAATGCCGGAAATTTTATGTACACCTTGCTAATGAGTACCAGCTAGGATGATATCTAGATCAAACAAGGTTACCTGCTTGCAACCATCTGAACGTATATTTCTTTGTTCTTCCAAAAATGGTATATATGAGGTTGTATATTGTCGCCAGAATAACAAATCTATATTATTGCTATGTAACTACGTTCAGATTTAATTTGGATTATTTACTTTTTTTTCCAAAAAATATTTAATCTTAGATCAGATACTCCATTAATATACAAAGCTATTCCTACTTGGTTTATTCGTGTTGAACAAATGATTGATCGACTGTTGGCTAACAATGCAAAATGTCTATGGTATGTGCACACACTGATACACCTTTGGTTTTTCTATTAGAATTTCTTTTTCTGTGCAGTTCAATGTAGTCATTCTCTACATTTGTTTATTACTCTTTCATTATATGGTTTGTCTCGGCCGTTGTTGCTACCTTGACGTGGTGGCCGGGCTTGCCTATCGTAATGAACCAATCGAGCTATACTCGCTGGAACAATTGTTCCTCAAGGTCTTATCATGCCAGACAGGTTAGTTGAAGAGCGGTAAGGCTAAAAGCAACAAACCCAAGGTCTGAGGGTGAAGTCGTACTGCTGACTGTACGGAGGTGTGACGGCAGTAAGGTGTTTCCTTCGGACAGCCAGCGTAACAGCAATGCTGCCTTCCCACAAAGAGGGGTGGGGTTAGAAAAGGTCTACCCTAAAAATGCACACCTCGCCTTATCCCACGGATATCCGTCTCCGGCGGTAAGGTCTCAACAAGTACGAAGCTAACACGAAAATTACCCACAAAAAGTTCGTGTGTGACCAACCTCAAGCAGTTGTCCCTTGGGCACTTCGGTCACGCTCTCAGGTCACTACGACCACATTTAATCCAATTTCGTTTTCAGGTACCTCTAGAAGAGCCCTTCCATGGCGTGGGCAACCGGGAAGTGATAACCGCCCTCATACCCCTAACAGCACTCAAGACTGTGGTTTGTAATTTTATGAGACAAACTTTAAAAATGCAACCAAATTTCAACCCACTGTTAGCCAATCAAAATGTGTATGAATAACTTCTGAAAAAAGGCAATACTACTGCCAAGTAGAAGTAGATTTCACATGAATATAGGTTTTATCTAGGCGTTAATCGGAGAAAAATGACATAAATTGATCCATATGACCATACAACAACCATCTCCTCAAACGATCATAAGGACGCTAATATTATCTTAGGTATCTCCACATTGTCCCTGGTTAGAGTTTAGGTTTAGGGATATGGTTGATTCACGTGCTTCACTCAATCTGCATAGAAAGAATTGTCTATTTGATGCGATTAACATGATCATTTTTACTTTATAATAATGAACAACAATTTTTCGTCATCATTTTAAACATTCTGAGGTGTATACAATGTTATTTCTGTTACCTATTTTATGTGATAGGAGATACAGTCATCCGTTTTTTTTTCAGTTTTGCACAAAACTCCGAAGTTCTCTTGATTGTGATTGGATTATCTCCATACTACATGTAGGGCGGTGACTTAGTGGGCAATGTGTCTGACTTTCGGCCACCAAGTTCCAGCTTTACCGACTTTAATTTGGGCAGCTGTGTAGTATCATTAACCCTTCACACTTAGAGTGTGACCTATATCTAAATACCTAGTGAAATACTTACGTTTACCGCCGTAAACAAATTTGTGTGCCATAGATACTCACTGAATTCAATCTTCTTTAGTGTTTCCAGTAAATTTTCTAAGCGAGATTTATCCTTTTAGATTAGCTGAGAACTAAAAAGAGAGTTAATCAATGATCTGTCTGCTGTTATTAACGGTAGAATTATTTCATTCTATCGTCGATCTCAATCAGTTTAAAGCACCATTCAACAGTTAAAATTGATGCATAGAATACTGTTCGATTAGTTATGCAAAATGATTTATTGTTAGTTAACCATCAAACATTCAATAAATTGAGAAGGTCAATTATCAGCTATTTTTCTGTCCTATTTGATTTACATATTTGATCTGATGGTTAGGAATTAATGGATTGAACAGATTATCCATGACTGCAACTATTTTAATTACCACTATTGTTATTTGTATTCAAGATTGATTCACTCTGCTTACTTATTAAACAACGCATAGAAGGATTTTTAAAATAAAAATAGTCGAAATTAGCTACTTAAACTGTTGAATGTTTATAAACTAAACTGTTGGGAATTAACATAGTAAAGTGAAAGTGATGGCTTAGTGGTTAAGTACCATTGCTCCTCTCGAACATTATATCACGGTTTCAAACTTTAGTTTACTGACTTCAGTTGAGTCAGCTCAAGATGAAAGGGTTAGTTTAAATAGCCTGTCATAAATACTGTTACTCAAGCCGATCACATAAACCTGTACACTTGGTAGATGCGTTATATATATATATATCTTGTTTATGTGAATTTAGTTACTGACCTATACACTATTTCAGGCAATTAAATTTCATTAAAAGTAGGCATTATCAGACAAAATGTATGTAGTACCTTTGCATAGTTGCTAGGGGATCACAAAAAAGTCTGTATAATCTGACAATATTTCTTTTGTAAATGTCAAACTATTATTTTCACATATTTTATAATCTATGCTTTCAACTTTCATACCATATTATAACAAAAAAGGGTACCGGATTTTGTACGTGAAGGTAGATTTGCTAATTGGCTACGTGATGCACGTGATTGGGCTGTGTCTAGAAATCGTTTCTGGGGTACGCCAATACCAATATGGACAAGTGATGATATGGAAGAAGTGGTTTGTGTTGGTTCTATTGAAGAATTGAAACTATTATCTGGTATAGAGGTTACGGATTTACACAAAGAATTGTAAGTTTTGAATGTGATACAGAGGAGTATATATATATATATATATATATATATATATTCTGCTTAATTCATTATTGGTTGTAATAAAGACATGTATCTTCCAGCCGCTTAATAATTATTTTTTGTATTATTGTCTCTTTTACTCTTCTCGAATATTTCATTAAAGTGTTGACCCAATCACTATTCCATCGTCAACTGGACGAGGTGTTTTACATCGTGTTTCTGAAGTATTTGACTGTTGGTTTGAATCAGGATCCATGCCGTATGCCCAGGTTAGTGTGTGAATAATAACTGAATGAATTCACGGTTATAATATTTTCTCTCTTATATTCCACGTATAATTAACTGTAGGTTGGTGGTAACTTAGTGTTTTCAAAGGATTAAGCATTCAGTATTCAGGGTCTGAAGTTTGGAACTCTGCTCTTACCACTTCACTTTGTGTAGTCGATTAGTATCAGTAAAATATCTAATTATGAAAGCCCAAGTGCAACAGCCTGTACTTGGGGTACTGAAATGTATTAAATCCAGGTAGAATTAGATCCAATTGAAGAGATATTGTGGAGATTGGTTTGATTTGGAGATATTTTTTCATCAGAGTATGGAACTTCTCATCATTACACAACTACAACCCCGTCATGGATCGAACCCTGGAATTCAGACCCCACTATGAAAGCTTAAATATTAGAACCTCTAGGTCCGGTGTACTAACTCGAAACAACTGGCTAGTAGTCTTTAATTTTTAGCAGGAACTCAACTAAAATAAACCTGTGACAAATACAGCCTGCAGATTAAAATTAAATTATTAGTTTAATATTCTCTGCGACTTCAGGGCATCTCTTCCCATTCATTATATAATCAACAAATCCTCTCTGTTCAAATGGCTTTCGTTTCTTCAGTCAGTTATATCTGTATGTCAGTAATATTTCTTGTATACAAACCACTGAAAATTAATTTCACTCAACAGTTTTAAGTCAATTCAACGTTATCCATAATCACGCAAAGTATGATGTGTTGTATGTATTCAAATTAAAAAAACCCGGAAAGTTATCAAATGTCACTACAGTCACAGTGTTTCTGTACCAAATATCAAGTGATTATCTTAGGAAAAAACTGATTATTCTGAGAATGTTTTTTTTGTCGAGACTTCTCTGAAGCTTTTAAAACGGGCAGTTCTTAAAGTGTTCAAACCGATTGCGATAAATTTAAATTCTCACTGGCTAATTCTCATGACAACACATCAAATGTATGTAAATGCAAATACATTCTCCCATTGTCTTATCTTTGGTAACATTAACATAGTAGTAATTTCCATTTTTCTCAGTTATTGACGCGTGAAGTAAAGAATCATTTAAGTTAGTAAGAATAATTGAAATAAAAAAGATATTTCTATGACTGAACAGATTTCTAACGTTCTAGAATGACCAAATAAATGTCTTGAAAGATAATTTGTTTCATGAATTGACAGGAACTAAGGAAAATTTCAGAGCAGGTAAGTTATCTCATGCTTCTTTAGATTTGCGACTCATGTGACCCATTTCAAGAGTTAAGCGTTCGTACGCGAGACTGAAGGTCCTGGGTCCAAATCCTGCGTATGAGATCGTGGATACGCACTTTTGAGGAATCCCATATTAGGATGATATGACCGTCCAATGCTTCCAGGTTTTCAATGGTGGTCTAACATTAATCGGCTCATGATCTCAATTACACCACGACAATCCCCACAACCCCATACTGATAAACAGTACAGCTTTAGACTACATATTCTGTGTCTGTGTTTGTGTGCGACCGGCTTAAGATAATACTGCTGCAATTAAATAACGCAATGTTCGAACTCATGACTCATTAATAGGGAGATTCGAGTGCTTCAACTAATAAGCTAGCTCCTCTGTTTATATCCTTTATCACACATTAATAAACAAACGATTGATGCTATCCGATAATTTTTATCAACACACTATGATATGGAGTCAGTCAGTCAGTCAGCTACACCGTAGGACCACGCACATATATGCATCGATCCAAGTTGCTATACCTCATTAACACAACAAGATGGACACCGGATCCATAAAAGTAGTTAATTCAGAGGTGGTAATATATAAAAGAAAGATTGCAATAGGGATATAGTACAGTAGTACCTCTAACAGCACTCAAGACAACTGTATGAAATGGAGTAAATATTCACTTTTAAATTTTTCTTATATATACATAAATGTTGATAAGTTCATTGTAATTTTGTAGATGTAATCTCTGCTAGTGTAATGTAATTCAAAATATTTACAGGTAACAGTTTTGTTCTCTTAAATTTGTGCACAGATACATTATCCATTTGAGAATACAACTGTATTTCAAGAAGGTTTCCCAGCAGATTTCATCGCTGAAGGTATTGACCAAACACGGGGCTGGTTTTATACATTATTGGTATTATCCACTGCATTATTCGATCAACCACCATTTCGTAATTTAATTGTTAATGGAATAGTTTTAGCCGCGTAAGTTATTTAAAAGTTTTCGTAAAGACACTTTTGAGTTTGTATGTACATGAGTGTTTTTATTTTAATGTTATGGTATTCACAGGTACTGTTTCTTGACTTGCGATGTAAAATTCCAAACCTAACAGCATATATCAAAGTGACTATTTAATGTTTTTAGTGACATCGATTTTCGCATCCACTGGCTAGGCGCCGGATTCCAACCCCGCGCCCTGTGCACTTCAACTTGTGTTGCTGAAATGTATCACTCGAAAACAAATAGATAGATATGCATTTGGCAAAAAAGTTACATTTCAATATGTACCATGCATATGTCAGAATATAATTTGATATACCCTAATTTCAGTTTGTAATCGAACCTTCTCTCTCCCTCCTACTTCGTTTAGACAGTCGGACAGTATCAGTTTTAATGTCAGGTGGTTGGGTTGGAAATAAATATCGGAAAGCCAAAGACCTAGGTCTCGTGCTAGTTAACATTTGTCAGTCATGGTGTATCCATCTAATCTTGAGGTTTTTATGCTCTGTTAATTTGGAACTGAGTTATTTACCACTAGTTAATTACACATTAGTAACTAATATTATACTTGTATTTACCGGCGGTCGTATTCTATAGATCGCGTTGAAGTGTATTGCTATGAATTTTAGTAATGTTATTGAAAGTATCATCTTCGTCATTATATTAGAGAAAAATTTACGGAAATAGTCCAATTAAATAAATGCAAAAGGAGCACTATTTGTGAAATAATCATATTTCCGAAGTGCATACCTACGTTTATCAGTGCCAGTTAATCGGAGGTGGTTTTCAGTAAACCTTTGACCTAGGTTTCAAACTCATATCATTCAGCTTTACATTCCCAGCTATTCAGAATGCTCAATAGTGACGTCTCAGATTGTGAAACTGTATGGCCCGGATTTTAATCCTCAAGGTAGCATCAATCACCCAGGATTATAGGTATGCCATTCTGACAAGTGTCAACTAGTGTGTAACCTAGGTTATTCAGTATATCCAGTCGACCACCTCCAACATGGTGCGAGCTATCTAGAGTGGTTTAGACTGGTTATTGACACAGTGCAGCCTTGTCGATTGAATTCAGATAGCACTGGTGGACTAGTCAAATATAACATTAGTGATAAATCTGTTTTAAGTGTTTATTAGTGTTCAGCACTTCTATGCAATATTCCCAATGGTTCACTCATTATATCCTCCGAGTTAGAGTAGATTAGTGGCTTGCTTGGTCGTTTCAGGCAATCGACCGTAAACTACTAGGTCTCAATTTCGAACTTTATTCTCACTAATTTAACTTGAATAATTACAAAATATGTCACTGAAAGTCGACAGTTCACTTGCCCATACCTGACTACTTAGTTGCATCCTTAGCAATCAAACACTAATAATTTAATACCTGTTGCAGATTTTCCTCTCTCCCTACATCCCGGTTTCATTGTTTTGCAGTTTTCCTCATAATTTCCTTGGTTACCATCCTGCTATTAATGATAGAGTGGTGAGTCAGTTGTTAAGGTATTTGACCTTTAGCCACTAAGTTGTAGGTTCGAACCCTTTTCCACCTACTTCGATTTAGGCGACTGAAGATAGTATCACTAGCCCTTATACTCAGAGTATGACTCAAAGTCAAGTACATTAATCCCTAATTGGTAAGTAGTTTGTATTACATTACTAGTATTAGTAATAATATTTTTAAATATTACTATATCTTATATATTTATGGTGTTAACAACAACAAATGCACATGATGTTCTAGCGATGGACAGAAGATGAGTAAACGTGCCAAAAACTATCCAGATCCAGTTGAAGTTATAGAAAAACACGGTGCTGATCCACTACGATTATATTTAATAAATTCACCGGTGGTTCGAGCACAAAATCTACGATTCAGTGAATCTGGTGTACATGAGATTGTAAAAGATGTATTTCTGCCATGGTGTAATGCATTACGATTTTTAATTGAGGTAAGTTGTTGAATTATTTTTCGTTGTTTAAAATATAACACTGAGATAATAATTGAATTTGTTTTTTTATTCGGTTGCTTCAACATTCCTGCGTCGATTTGTGCGCCCAGGGTAGTATCCCAGTACCTCCTTGTTTCAATGTTTATGTGTTTACATAAATAAATAAATAAGCTTCAACATCACTCACTCGATAGTTTGCCAGACGTAAATACTGCTATCAACGCATTTATCATCGAATACTTGCAGTATATTCATTTGTATCATCTACTTTTATTGATTATCTTTCAGTCTTATAGTATTACAAACTTAACTGCTGCTCGATATAGTCTCCCTCGTTCAGGAAATGGATGCATTACCTACGTTAAATTTCGTGAGAATTGAAAAACGAAATTTTACTGACCATCGAGCCAGTAGGGCTGATAATATTTCCAAAGTCCTTAAGGTGGTATAGGTATTCGACTATTTGTCACCCCTTAGTCAAAATAAAGATTGATTTTGACCCGTTCCTAAACAACTTCACATCTACAAAAAAAGGAAACTCATCTCGTTTATATTTAAATTGTTACTGAGGTTATTAAAAAACTGTTTTATCACTTTTCTCCAGATATGAATATGTCATCTACATTCTTCAAGTCTATCAGTGAATCTGTGAGAAGTAGGATAAAGAAAGAGCCATCTCTAAAAATACGTCTTTGCCAAAATAAAACTTTATATAGTGAATAGTCTACGTACAGTACCTTTGGTCAGTTCTCCATGAGCTCTAACTTTATAGTTGTTGTTTGAGTAAACAGTCTTCTGTTAGTTGGTGGATTTTGCTGCGCCATTCAATAACAAGCATTACCATAAAACCTGTTCATCAACGGAGTTGGATGTGACCTCCAAGTCAAGAAATGGAACCACAGTTGTATATCTGTAAGTAACTAGAAGAACGGTGGATATTCGATCGAGGAATGTCAGTCTAAAACTAGCATGACATTTTCTTGATTACGGTTTGTCAGCTCCATTTTGGCATCGGGTTACTATCGAAGCTGACGGGTAGTAGTCTTATTTGCTTAGATCAATATCATACACTCCAATCTATCATTGTCGTCCTTGTTCTGTGTTTATAATATCACTAATTGTTCACTGATTAAAAACTGAATCTTTTCAATTTTACATTTTTTTAATTTAGTCATCAATCTTACCATATCAAAAAATAACTCATCAATTATTCATTATGAAATCAGATGAATTCCCTTTGACAAATAATTTTATGGATCGTTGGATTTTATCATTTACTCAAAGTCTAATATTGTTTGTACATGAAGAACTTTCAGGTAAGTAGAATATGCCATCTCTGTTTTAATTATTTTAAATATCCGTCGAATTATTTGGAAGTCAATTTCAATGCTTTATTTGTATATAACTGCTATATTTGAAGAGATTACAAGTTCACCTAATCTGTGAACGGATGGAAGACTCAGTGACAAAATGACGAAATTAGCTAACTATTCCGATGCGTTCCAGTCCTGCTCAGTAGAGAAAGAATTCACCAGTGATTAATTTTTTTAAGAATACTGGAAATTCTTTGAATCTTTTCCCAATCAATGCTGCATTTGATCTTTTTCTGTTTTTGGTTATGTTTCACTCACTTTGAGAAGGATTTCTCATTCTTCTTTTTCTTAATTCAAATCGTTTTACTAGAATCGTGTTCACAGATGATTTTTCAAAATTCCGTTCACTAGCTATCATTTATCAGAAAGCACATGAAATCTCTCACATATTCACTTTTTTTAACAACGCAGAATGTCAACGGTCTTCCATAGCTAACAAATATGTGGCTTAGTTTGAATATTCTCAGACAAAAGATATATGTGTTTTGTAGCTTTTTAAAACTTGTCATCTGTATAAACTGTATTATTGTTTCACAATTCAACTCAATTCATTATATCATATTTGTTGATACTACATTAAACTACTAATTTGGAATTGAGTAGCCTATAGTTTCTAAATTATTGTTGAGCGATGGTTTATCAATTCAAATGATGAACTTCCAACCACATTTTTTCTTACTTTAGTTCTTAACACGTTTTACCACATTCCAGTTCAAGTACCTGGTAGTAGCATCAACAACTCTCGTTCAAAAATTTGTCTTCAAATTGAGCACATAAACATGTACTTGATAAATATACTTACATATGAATACATAGTGGTTTATTTTGTTATATAAACATACAGTCAAATATTATTAGTCCCTGTCTTATTCAAAATGACCGCAAATTTGAAATTATGACTTCTGGTCTCTGAGACGAAGCAACTTTCCTGATAGTTACTTAATTTGTGCGGTTTTTAATTCCTTTAAAATTAATTTTAAATCCATCGATATTCACTGAGCTGACTAGTCTCAAAATCTATTGTTATAAAACTATTCAGAAAATAGCTTTGACCTGTGCAATCGAACAAGTTGAAATTAAGGGAATTATCCGGTTGTTACCACTGGGTAATAATGACCGTCTTATGTCATAACTTTTCTATGGTCAACAAATGCTAGTGTATCCCTAGTCGGTGAATAAACGATATACGTATTTAGCTCAAGAATTTTTGTGGAGATTGGTTGAATTTACAGGTTGTTTGCATCACGGATGGATGCTAGTTGGTATACTGTTGGTAACTAGGAGTCACTGCATAACTACTTCTTCCCAATATACGATCCTTCTATTGTTTGTTATGAAACAGTTGTCATTAATGGCATTAGATAATCGTCAAGTTATATCGCAAAAGTCTATAGAAGTTGGAATTGTAACATCGGGCGGCGACTTGGGGATCCCTGTGATGTTAATCGTTCATCGATAGGATTAAAGGTCATAGGTTTGACCTATGATGACGTCATAGGTACTTACTACTTGGTAGTCTTTTACTAGAACAAATGAGCTGTCTTATACTACACGATATTCTTTGTTACTACAATTTGTGATGAATACACTCCAAAAGATTACACATTTTCCATGAGATCTGAAAGTTTCGATGACTTATGTAGTGTATATCTGTATGCTGTGAAATCGTTTGGATATTATATACTATTTTTCTTAAAATAGGTTATCGTTTGTACACAGTGGTGCCGCGTTTAGTAAAATTTATTGATCACCTTGTTAATTGGTATGTACGGATGAATCGTAAACGCTTAAAAGTAAGTAATTAGTCTGCACATCTGTAAATGATTACTGTTTTTCCTCTAGTTAATTACTATTTTTCTTTAAATAAGTCCACTTGTATTTTGTTGAATCATAGAAATATTGTAAAACTCTGTTAATGAATTATTATTTTGATCGGTTTGAGAAAAAAATGACAAATTTCAATGCAATCCTGTGTTCAAATTGCTAAGTTTTCTGATGACAAAGTTAATTATTAGTGTAGATAATATTTATTTCTTATTTAAACACATAATCATTGGTACAAGAACGCACTAAATACATATGCACCTCACAAATGATTCGATTTATGTGAGGTTTGGAATAGTGCCACGGTGCCCAAATAGAAGCAGATAGTTTCCTTAGTGGGAGGGGGCAATCCCCGAGCCTTTGACCTAAATGTCTAATCCACAATATAGTGGAGCAGCTTTAGGAGATGCAGTCCCATGGTAGTGGGTGACGAACAATACGTTTATGCACCATTTGTTCACACAGAATCCTGGAACTCATGTGCACCATCGGTTTGGGCTCATGGTTCTCCAATTTCCTTAGGTGGATCTCCTTTAACCACCAACCCGGTTAAAGCGCCGAACATCCGTTTTTCGTCCTTTCAACTCCGTAAACAACACCCGTAGTGCGAGAAGGCAGTGGGTAGTACCTCCCTGACAATGGCTGTATACGCATGGCCATCTGAGAGCATTGGGAGAAGGAGAACTGACTCCCCACCCTCGACCGTACCTGAGCATTTGGGTTATAATTATGTTATCTATTCAGTTAATTTATCCTTAACAACATTTGTTGGTACAGAAGAGAGTCGAAAGATTTTATCCCCCTTATTTAATTACTGTCATACACTCAAGCGTCTATAGTCTCTCCCAAGGAATTCTTAGTCACTACTTTTTGTAACTAAAGTTTAATAAATGTGGTTGTCTGCCCTTAAACTCAGTTATTGAATATGATAAGAGTTGAAGTACCTTGATATTTCAAACTGCTGAAGCACAGTGGCTTCAGGATACTGACGTAAAATCAATGATATATGAATCTACTTAGACCATCAATTACCAAGAGAGTGCATTATCTAACATCGCAATTGGGGATTAATTATTAAAACATCTAACTTCTATGTACTAGGTTTGAATTCTGCATTCCATTTCATTTACTTCAGTTAAAAGAGTCATGTTGTATTACTGGTTCTCATATAAAGTATGTTGTACAAAGTAGAATTTGCGCATTTATACTCTCCTAAATGATGTTAATTGACAATAACTTTTCGAAACCATATGACATTAAAGGTCAAGGAGCTCTAAACTTTATTTTGTTACGATATTCTTCGTTTTTAATTTGTCATTCTCATTTTCATTTTTGTTTACTGTTTTCATAATACAGGGAGATGTTGTTGAAAATCAAAATGATTGGAAAGCAGCTTTGCATACCCTATTGAAAGTAATTTATCAGATTACATGTTTAATGTCACCTTTCACTCCATTTATAACTGAATTTATCTATCAACATATCAAGGGTTATCTTGATTATACTGATAATTTGAAAGGTTAGTGACACTACATTTCCTTTTTTATCGTTTTAATTTTTCGTTATTGTTCATTGGTTACCGTTTCTATTTATTTATTATCATATGCTCACTAGTGACTAATATCGAAAGGAGATTTTTGGAGCTTTAATAAGAATCCGTGACCAGTGGAGTTCAACGGTGTCGGATGTGAGGCATTTACCCATCAAAGACTATAATAGATGGTAGCGCAATATTGTGGATTTGTTGAAGTTAGACATTAACGCTGTTTGGTGTTGACTGAGTGGTCGAGAGGTTAAGTGTTTGTGCACGAGACTGAAAATGGTGAGTTTGATTCTGGCGTTCGAGATGATAGTTGTTCAGTGTTGCTTAGAGGTTTTCAATGATCACCTAACTTAGGTCGGTCCATGATTTTGATGAAATAAATCGTTCCTTTTAGACTACGAAAGCTCTCGTGTCAATGAAAAAATAATCGTATTTCTATCATGTGCAATATGTTGTTGCTTCCCATATACATTTCACTCTTAATATTCTCCGAAGCTTATGTTTATCATACAAGTAACTTGGCCACTACCCTACTAATTGTGAACTTCAAATAATTTTCCATAATTGATCAATATGTTTATTACAGTTCCTCATGTGCCCAAAGCACTTGTATTTACAATGTTTCCATACCAAACCATTGCTTTCTTCTTGTTTAAATCTTATGGTTTATAAATGTTAAAAACAGTGGTAATGTGTTACAACTCGTGACATTCGATTTATATACACACTGTTCCCATATGCTACTCACTCACTCAGCTATGCGAGTGATAAACTAGATTAATAGGAATTTGTAATTACTTGACTAAAATTAATTATACACAAACCCTAGAGATAAAGATTTATACACCGGGGCTAGGTGCATGATTGGATTCCCTCAATAAGCGTGTTTTACCTGTATTTTCTCATTTGACTTTAAGCATGGACATATTATGTGTCTAGACTCTCCCAGTCTATGATAAATCCTGGATCTTTGACTTTTAGTGATCAACTTCATTAAACACTTGCAACATCATTATCCTAAATAACTAGAACAAAAGTGATTTTTTTTCAATTTTTTTTCTGTAGACCATAGTTCTCTTCTTCCTGGTTATTCATCTGAAACTGGTGCTCCCGATTCCATTCATTACATACAAGCCCCTGAACCAAAATTAGAATTGATCTCAAATGAAATAGAAGATATTGTCTATTGGATGCAATCTACCGTGGAATTAGGTCGTATAATACGTACTCGTTGTAATCTTCCTTTGAAAGCACCACTACGTGAAGCTATTGTTATTCATTCAGATCCGAATATTTTGAAAAATATCAAATCTGCACAAACATATATCATTGAAGTAAGTAAGCTAGGATGATCATAAATAAATATTAATTCTTTTTTAAGTGATCATTCTCATCAGTATCAATAACCTTAATGAACTAATTACCTTAAAGAAATAACAAACATGATTTATAAGTTCATCAATGTTCGTAACCAGTTTTCCAATGTATATATGGTGTTAGATAAATTGTTTCCCGACCGTTGTTGCTACCTTGACGTGGTGGTCGGGCTTGCCTATCGTGATGAAGCAACCGAGCTATACTGGCTGGAACAACCGTTCCTCAAGGTCCTACCATGTCAGACAGGTCGGTTGAAGAGCGGTAAGACTAAAAGCAACAAACCCAAGGTCCGAAGGCGAAGTCGTACTGCTGACTGTACAGAGGTGTGACAGCAGTAAGGTGTTTCCTTCAGACAACCAGCATGACAGCGATGCTGCCTTCCCACAAGGAGGGGTGGGGTTAGAAAAGGTCGACCCTAAAAATGCACACCTCACCTTACCTCACGGATTTCCGTCTCCGGCGGTAAGGCCCTTTGAAGAACGGAGCTAACACGTCGAAAACCTCCCACAAAAAGGCCGTGCGCGACCGGCCTCAAGCAGTTGTCCCTTGGGCACTGCGGTCACGCTCTCAGGTCACTGAGACCACCTCTAATCCAATTTCCTTTTCAGGTACCTCCAGAAGAACCCTTCCACGGTGTGGGCAACCGGGAAGTGATAACCGCCCTCATACCTCTAACAGCACCCAAGACCACTGTATTCATAATCAACCTTCCTCTTCAATTCCTATTATTCCTCCTACATCGACTTTCAACCCTAAACTTCCTCCTTCGGCTTCCTCCTCAAGTGTCACCATAGCCAACGATTCTAGTGCTCAAAACTCTGTCCCAGGTCTACTGAAACCTCGCTCCAAACTACACATTGGAGCTTTCAACGTACGCACTCTATGTCAAATCGGTCAGCAGGCTTCCTTGGCTGAAACCCTAGAGTCTCTTTCCATTGATGTATGCTGTGTCTCTGAAACACGCATACAGGATCCCAGTGTGGTCATTCACTTGACCTCACCTCGGCAAAACGGAGAGCCAACGAGATACACCCTCCGTGTATCTGGTGACCCGATGGCCAGTTCTCGTGGACTGGCAGGTGTAGGCATAGCACTAAGCATGAGGGCCGAACAAGCACTGCTAGAGTGGATCCCCGTCAACAGTCGTCTATGTGCTGTTCGGCTGAACGGCTACGTAAGAACTCGGAAGGATAGGGACACACGTCGTTGCCTTTTTGTCGTTTCTGTCTACGCTCCCACTGACTGCAGCTCAGATGAAGTGAAAGATGAATTTTACAGAAGGCTTTCTGAACTTCTTCAGAAAGCTAAACGCTCAGACATAGTACTCATAGCAGGTGATTTTAATGCTCAGATAGGTAGCTTAAACCAAACAGAAAGGCATTTAGGTGGATATTTTAGTATTCCGACACAGCGAACAGATAATGGTGATCGCCTGCTGCAACTGTGCTCAGACAATCGTTTATTTTTAGCAAACACAAATTTTAAGCATAAGGAGAGGCATCGTCTAACATGGCGACCCCCTACACCAAACCAACGATGGACTCAAATAGACCATATTGCCATCAGTCATCGTTGGAGAGGGTCGGTAGAAGATTGTCGCTCATTCTGGGGTACCTGCTTGGACTCCGACCATGCCCTAATACGGGCACGCATCTGCTTGCGCCTCACTGGACGCAAAAAAGCAACATTAAAAAGACCCGTTAGAACTGAGTTGAGTAACGAGAAAACCAAAAGTAGGTTCCAGGAACAACTGAGGTCACACTTAGGTAGTTGTGAAGACGAGGCTGACCCAGATGTTGCTTGGAAGCGCATACAATCAGCTGTGGAAACAGCAATGACATCTATTAGTGACTTAAACCACAGAGTTGCAAGGAACCAGTGGATTTCTTCAAAGTCTATCACACTGATGGATTCTCGCAAACTCGTCCCATCAGGTTCTGAACATGATGAAGAGCGAAAACAAATCAGATCTAGGTTAAGAAAAAGTCTAAGGAACGACCGTGAGCAGTGGTGGGTAACGAAAGCAAAAGAGATGGAAAAGGCGACGACTATAGGGAACACAAGACAGCTTTACAGACTAATAAAAGAAACTGGAATTAATAAGTCAAGTGTAAGTGAGATTATTTCGGAAAAAGATGATACTCTCATCTGCTCCCAGTCCAGACGTTTAGAACGATGGGCGGAACATTTTAGAGAACAGTTCAGCTGGCCTTCAGCTACTCTACAACTACCCTCCATTTCCAGACAATGTGAATGGAACATTGAAGTAGGTCCTCCAACTCTTGCTGAAGTTCAAAAGGCTATAGTTAATCTGAAACGAGGAAGGGCAGCTGGTCCAGATGGATTGGCTCCAGAGGTCTTTAAGGATGGTGGTCCAATTTTAGCGATTAGGTTGACTAATATTTTAGCTAAGATCTGGGAATTAGACTTTATCCCATCTGACTGGTCGCAATCACTTATCGTCCCAATATATAAGAAAGGGTCAAAATCATCCTGTGATAACCACAGAGGGATTAGTTTAACAAACATAGTATCTAAAATACTGGCCTCGATAATTATCAGACGTCTAACTAAGACTCGTGAACTACAAACTCGAGAGAACCAAGCTGGCTTTAGACCTGGTCGTGGCTGCATCGACCACATATTCACCATTCGTCAGGTTCTAGAACACAGGCATACCTATCGGCGTCCGACGATGGTGGTCTTTCTTGACTTAAAAGCAGCGTTTGACTCTGTAGACCGCGAGACTCTGTGGCAGTGTCTGTCATTGAAAGGCGTACCTCAGAAGTACATAAACCTTGTGAAGGCTCTTTACTCGAACACTACTAGTCGAGTCAGAGCTTATGGCGAACTGTCATCTACTTTTGCAACTTCAAGTGGTGTCCGTCAAGGCTGTCCACTTTCTCCATTTTTGTTTAACTTCGTCATAGACCTATTGATGGAAATAACACTCTCGTCGACTGAATTCTCGGGTATTGATCTCCTTCCAGGAGGTCCACTTATCGACTTAGAATACGCAGATGATATAGTCCTGTTTGGTGAAGACGCTGACAAAATGCAGAGTCTTCTGGTAGCACTAAGCAACAATGCCAGAATGTTTGGGATGCGCTTCTCTCCCTCTAAATGCAAGTTGTTGCTTCAGGACTGGTCTGCGTCAACACCTGAACTAAGGATAGGGAGTGAAGTAGTCGAACGCGTCGACAACTTCACTTATCTTGGAAGTCTGATCAGCCCTAATGGGTTGGTGTCTGACGAAATCTCAGCACGGATTCGAAAAGCTCGTTTGGCTTTTGCCAACTTACGTCACCTTTGGCGGAGGCGAGATATCCGTCTATCAATAAAAGGACGAGTATACTGCGCGGCAGTCCGTTCTGTCTTACTTTACGGCAGCGAAACATGGCCTTTAAGAGTAGAAGACACCCGTAAGCTACAAGTATTTGACCACAGATGCCTCAGAAATATTGCTGGCATCTGCTGGGATCACCGGGTAAGTAATAGTGAGGTTAGACGTAGGGTATTAGGGAATGATGGTAAATCAGTTGATGAGGTTGTTAATCTTCATCGACTGAGATGGTTGGGCCACGTATTACGTATGCCTGAACACCGATTACCACGACGTGCAATGCTAACCGGTGTTTGGGATGGTTGGAAGAAAGTTAGGGGCGGCCAAACCAAAACGTGGCATCAGTGCTTGAAGTCACTAACTTCTAGTCTGAGCCATGTTGGTAGATGCAGACTACTTGGTTGGGGTCCGCGTGACTATCGTAACCAATGGTTGGAGACTCTTGGTGACATGGCTCAGAATCGATCACAATGGCGTCGGTGTATACACTCCCTGTCTTCTCTTAAACTAAGAGATTAAAATGACTTTATATCTTTCTTTCTACTAACTAATTCTTCCTTCCTATACCATATCCTTATTGCAACCTTTGACCTAACCACTTCTATGAATCCGGTGTTCATCTTGTTGTGCTAATGAGGTATGGCAACCTGGACCGATGCACATATGTGCCTGGTTCTACGTTGTAGCTGACTGACTGACTGACTGAGATAAATTGTTAGATGAGACTGTATCTGTACGGAATCAGCATGTTCATTATGTTAATTAGATAGAATTTGATTAACATTAAGAAACTAGACAAACATAATATTACCCATTACTTAATAAGCAATCAATCCAATATATCAAATCTACGATGGGGGTGCTAAATGGCAGCATCTCAGAGTGGATGATTGGCTGATCGGGAATCGAATCCATTAAGTGACATTAGTTTCTTTAAGATTGTGAGTATGTCTTGGTAATGTGTACCAACTAACACGAAACCTAGTTCAAAAAGGCTATCCTGCCGACTATTTCCAACTACCAAAAATCTCAATATATTATATCTAATGTTTAGTCACCTAAAGTAATGGATATATTACAACTTGATCGATAGTTTCTTTTAGCATTATCTACTAGACAAACATGATATTAGCCAATACTCAGTAAAGATCAATCTGAATAATCATTATCTGATCCATCCCTGGCAGCAATTTGATGGTTAACTTCAAGCGAATGAAACAAGTTCTCATTGATCTATATTTTACACAAAATTCACATTATAATACGATCGAACATCTTGGTTATTTTTCCTTTCCCATTCTCATTAACCCAATACACGTTTTAAATACATTATGACAATATCCATTGAGAAAAGTGTATTTATATTATTGTGCTTATTTTGTGTTAGTGAGATCTAAGTTCATATTTTTGTTCTACCATATTTGATTGTATTTTGAACTTATCAGCTTTGTGCACTTATATTTCAGTGTTGATATTCACGCCGAAACTTGAACCTGATAGACTGTCTTTTCAAACAGTAATGCATATCAATTTCATTGTTAGCTACAATTAAAATATTCCATGAACTGTAACAAAACTATTATATTGAGGCACCCAATCTAATAATGACTGTTTAACGTTCAGTCTTGAATATTGACAATGAGATATCAACTCACTGAAGACAATGGTGTGCGGTGGCGGTGGGTTCGAATCCCGCGGGGTGCGGGATCGTGGATGTTCACTGCTGAGGAGTCCCATACTGGGACGGAACGGCCGTCCAGTGCTTCCAGGTTCTCCATGGTGGTCTAGCTTCAATTGACTCATGATTTCAATCAGTGAAATTTCTAATATCTCCACAAAACTTTTGATAATGATATAACTACAAAGGTTTTGTACAAATAAATTATTTAAAACAATTCGTCCATCTGATAAATACCGATAATACAATGAGAAGTCAAAGTTTATCAGAAGGTCATCATAATTCTGATGACCTTTGTATTTCATTGCATTATCGAAATAAATTATCGGACATTTAATCACAGAGAACTGATAGACTTTCATGTTCTTTTGTAAATGATTTTCTGAAGAAGTGCGATTTATTGTCTTTAAAATTCATTATTATTATCATTATTATTATTATTAAAGGAGTTGAACGTTCGTGTTCTCACTACAACTAGTGATAAACATCGTTATGGTGTTCAACTTCGTGGCGTATTAAATCATAAAACATTAGGTGCACGACTCAAAAATGATTATAAATCTGTTGTGAACAAGGTGAAAGATATGTCAACTGAAGAATTGGAACAATTTGTCAATGTAAGTTCTTATATGAGTAGTATATACATATATGCATATATATAACAGTGTGAAATGCCATACGTCTACTTCTTATTTATAGAAGTTAGATATCTATTAGTGGTAGAATCCAAAAAGTGCATTCCAAGTTATTCAGGACTCATCGGCTGGATGTAACTGCACTCAAAAATTAATATTCACATTGAAATTCGAACCGAGCACCATTCGCTTTGAAAGCATGTCCTTGATTCTACTTCTGATTGTTGTCTGACTTTACTAAATAGCAATTCGTACAGGATGAAAACGAGGGCTTATTATTAATTACATTCCTTAATACCAATAAAAGGAAAAACACCAATCTGATTTCTATGTCAACGCTGGTTTGAGTCGAGTAAGAACACTAAAACTTATAGGATGAAAAACAAATGTATCGTTTCCTTTCTGAACTTTCCTGTCAACTATGAAATCAGAGTAGAATTTATTTCATAACGAATAAATATGGCTAGGAACAAAAAAAATATTGGTATACTGTAGTGATGGAAGTTGATACAAAAGTTTAAAACAACACTGCGATTCAAAAGAAAACTATACCAACATAGGACAAAAGAACTGACATTAAGAAATTGAGGTCGATGCGTATTAATGGGTCAGTTAAGTCATTCATCATCAGCATAGTGCTCGTGAAAAATGTGTGTTGTCACAAATCGCAATATCACATTAGCATAACGAGATAAATTTCGTAAGAGAAATAGACAAGTAATAAATATTCTGACTGAACGCTTGAACTGGTTTCCTGAACTCTTCTAATAAATCCAGGCTAAATTTACACGACAACTTGAACACGAAAGAAAAGGCGCAAAATATGGAAAGAACGCTTTAATGCAAGGTTAGTTTATGTGCAGAAAATTGAGGGTATTTCTAACATTTCAGATGGTCTCAGGCTATTGGAAGTTTCTGGGACCCCACGAAACATAGTAGCAGGATAGGTAACAATCCAATCGGAATTTCGACACGTGACTTCATTTTGCTTCTGAGGAACTTATTCTCAATGCTGATTTGATGAAATGTTTTCCAGCGTTTTCGGATATTCTTCGGTTTTTTTCCCGAGGAATAGTCTGGGTCTCCCCAACAAAATCCTGTTGAAATCATATTAATGTAGTAATGATAATAAAGGAAACTAAGCATTAGAAATATTCGTGAAAATAGAGTGAAAAGATATGTACGAGGAATAATGAAGTTTAAGATCTCCTAAATAAACGTGCTATATTTTGATCGATTCTAATTTATTTCACTCTTAAGTCCTGGAACCATTTGCCCAATAGTTCACAAGAGATAATTCATTTCAAGCTAGTCTAAAGGCTTGATGCGATAAGCTATTTAGTCCAACTATCAGGCTAGCAATGCATAAGTTCGATTAGTGATTAAACAGCCTTCGGGACAGAGAAACGAAAACTATATTTATCACCTGATGCACTGAAGAGAGAGAAGACTAACTTGTTAAAACACTACTCGATCTATATCTGAGTGAGGATAAACTCTACTCTCATTCGCGATTTTGACCTTTCATCTGGCAACAAACCAAAATTGAGCGGGAATTATTATTCACCTTATCGTAATCCATTATGAAGGGCGTGTTTCGTTATCTGTCGTTTTTGCTGGCTTACACGAAAAATGTAGTTTCCTACGACGAAAATACCATTCCATCATGCTACGGACATATCAAGGGTAATGTAGTCAGTCATGATGTAAGAAATATCACAACACAGCAAAAGACATGCCTCCAATCGATTCTATAATAGAAATTATTACAAAATATGTGCAATTAAGTGACTGGATATGATAAGTCTTGCGATTTGAACGCTATATTCGTTTCCTAAGCTATTCTGTAGCCCCCAAGCTGGAACTACACAGCGACCTGAACAACGAGAGAGAAGATGCAAAGTATGCGAGAAGTAGTTTACTCCAAGGTTCCTTTTAATACAGAAAACATAGGGTTTCTATAATATTTTCAAATGTCCTTGGGTTGCTCGAAGATTCTGGAATGCTACTAAACATAGCAGCAGTATAGCAATCAGCCAATCAGAACCTCTACATGTGACGTTTCACTCCCTTGATATTTTTGGCTAAAACTTCAAGTGAACACTGATTGGATGAAACGCTCCTTAGTGTTTCCTAATGCTTGCTTGTCTTTTGCAAGCAATTTTCTGGATCACTCCAACAGAATAAGCAAAAACACAACCAAGATTAGTGACTACGACACATTTGGATGACGTTCAGTTTATCCCCAGCCAAAAAGGAGTATGAGAGTGAATCACACGTCAAACGAAGGCTTGTGATTTATAGAATAAAAGAGGTACAAAACTGAACGTTAGTGTTTTGTAGAATTCGAATTAAGTGAAACATTGTTCTCAAAAATAACTTTCATTCTTCGTCGTTGCTTCCTTATTTCGCTTTTCACACCATTCACTAGTTTCCAACCAATGATTTCTGTTATCACGGTGGCTTTATCCAGTTAGTTTGCACCTATCAACATTGTCCATTCCGACAATCAATAACTTCATGCATTGACTCCACGTTCATTTCGTAATGAGAATCACTGTTTTAAAATGTTCATAATTTTCACATGATCAGTTCATCGTATATTCCTACTTCCATCAAATAGATTTTACTCTTAATTTGTTATTATTGTCGTTGATGACAGTTTTCTGTTCTCTTCTCTCTTGCCTCTTTTTTCGTTACATCATAGACTGGTCACATAATTGTTTGTGGGCATGAATTATCCGGTGATGACTTATCAGTAGTATATTCGACTGGTAGTAGCAGTGGGTGTAGTGATACACAATCATCTACATCTGGATTAAAACGTAAATCTGGACAATCATCATCATCATCATCCTCCACATTGGATGGAAATAGTCAAGTAAACTCATCCAAATATGAAACAGCTTCAGATGCTAAAGGTCTATTGGTAATATTGGATATAACTCCAGATGTTGAACTGGAAAATGAACGTTTAGCTAGAGAACTTGTTAATCGTATACAACGAACACGTAAAAAGGTGAGTAGTGTGGGTTCATGGCTGTTCAATGTATTTGATGGTAGTTACCTCTCTTTCTCGCTGTTTTCTTATTATCTCATAAATTGTCTTACTGAAGTAATTGTGCTATACTCTATTGTATGATGGTACTATATATTCGACTTCACATTTTTTTCTTTCTAGTCAGCTGCCGAAACAGATACGAGCGTCGAGCTTGATTCAGTCGTAGCATCTAAGTCATTTTTTTTCTGTTGAATGAAAGGAAAGCGTGAATGTATCACTTTTGATGTTGTAGGGTATAATATTTCTCAAAAATTCGTCAGGCATCATACCAGAAATTTGATTTTTTTTAAACCGTCATTTTGAATCTCTTTAAATTTCCTGGGTAATATTGATTTCACCTCTCTAAAACTTACACTATTGATTTTCAAACAGAGCATTTAAACACTTTTCTATATATATACACCTATTCATTTAAAACCAAATCTGTATCGGTCAGAGTTGGATTAAGCATCCTAATTTCCATATGTCTTCTCAAGTTTTGTGCCTGGGTTACAGGTATTTTGTCAGAGAATGGTAAATACTTTTATTATGTGTATTTTGTGTTGTGTCCTTTTTTCTAATCACATCACAGCGTTAATATGTAATAAGAGATCAATCTCTGCTAGAGTAGCCCAATGATAACACTGACCGTTATATTGTTTGATGTGAATTACAAATCTATGAACTGTACCAGTTTCTCTGTGATTAATGGAGAGTGTCACTTCGACTCGATATCTCTATGTTCCAAGATCTGAGATATTTGTGCCACTTTAACTAGAAGTTATTTTACAGCTTGATCGTTTGAATTTAATCAGCACTGAAGAAATATAATACTGATTACACACTATCCCAGAAATCATTTAGTTTGAAGCATAAAATTTCACTTTATTCTCCCGTTCATCTTCTTTTGTCAGTTAATCGAGAATTTGATAAAAAAAAATAGAAGAATACAGATTAGTATATACTATGTAAAGACACGAAGTGTGTCTGATAAAAGACTACTCACGAGACCGAAATATTCACGTAGGCCTTAATTGAACTGATATCAGAAGGGGACCATACCACTAACCAGTAGGTTATGTTTTTGTTATGGATGCTGAGGAATAATGTGCCAATCATTATTATGTTAAGTCTAATGATGACCTTGGACGTTAAATGAACATTTCCTATTGGCCGTTATTTATTTCACTCATTAAATATTGTACAGATGTTGTTTTCTATTTTTATGGTACGATGTGGTCTGTTTGGTTGGTATATAAACAGAGTATGCTTGAAATACAATGATTCATATCTCAGAGGCTAAGACTTGCGTTCTAGACTCAACTGGCTGGGCTAGACAGTGAAGCAAGGCCAATCGGGACTCTAGGTCGTTCATACGTGTTTTCCGTGTCACTGTAATCGATCGATAAAACGCTGCGCATATAGCCTGCTAATCCACCCGTTACAACAGCTTTCCTTCTAACAAAATAACAAACATACTTATATACAAAATATTGAACACAAAATAGACATAATTAAGTCATTTAACGAAGAAACAATTAGGGGATATATTGCACACATCGCTGAATAATATTAATACCTGACTATCAGGCGTAATCATTGCCCTTTCTTACTAGTTAGACTTTAAGTGATGCTTTATCTTGTATGATTCATAAGAGTTTCAATATGTTAACCAGTCTATCACACCCGATCTTATGGACTACTACTAATGTCATCTCATTATAAATAATTATTACTGTGGTTGTGTTCAAAGTGCATTTTCGATTTACATTCCCATGCCAGTCGTATAGGTCAGTAATCAATCTATTATTCTCCAAAAAATACAAGTATATTCTCTTAAAACCAGTACATTTTGCATCCTGAACAATTTTATGTAAACCTCGGTAATATCCTCAGAACTTTACTAGTTGTTCTACAAATGTCTCATTTTCATTTCTCTTTATAACTGGTTTGAGTGCCCGAGCTGTATTCCAGCCCTCACACAAATCGAATGATTTGTGTGGTACCTTTTTGTACCAATGTTTATGTGTTTAAATAATAAATAAATATAACCTGAGAAGTCGTGATCTGCAGAGTAACTCCCTATCACAGCAGTATACAGGGGTATTGCTTACTGATAATGCTTTATTGTAAACTCAACCTGTCATGTCATTATTTTGATGCAATATATATCTATAGAAAATTGTAAGTGTGCACTGATGTGAATATTTCACAGAACCCTAGATTAGATCAACTTGTGTCCAATATTCTTTTGATCTCATACAGTTTCCCCATTGACAATAGTTCATAATGACGTGGTGATTGATTTTAATGATAAAGCCATTTGACATTTAAATAATGAATCACAAATTTCAACTTCATCGCCTATTTATTTCGGTATAAACAGGGGATTAGGATTGTTTCTGCTATGTTTGAAGAGATCACGATATTGCCTAAAACCAGCGAACGGGACGAAAGTCTACAAGACAACAACAGAACAAGCTGCACTTCAACCCTGCTAAGTATAGGGAGAAAACCAGATTCAACCGGGAGAATATATATTCAACAAGCAGCCCGGAAGCACGAACAAACAAGCACATAACTCATGCACATATATACAATACAAAAATGTCTTTGGGCAACGTCAAAAAAATGCATACTAAAAGAGGGGACGAATCAATGACATTTCACGGTCTTCTAAGTGGGAAATACAAACTAAAGGTAAAAGTAGGTGCTTTTGGCGCCAAAGTGACAAATTCAAATTTCGGAAATAAAATTTTAAGCAATAAGGTGTTCATCAAATGATTTCTGGAGATCCAGTATCACTAACAGTGTTTTTACGAAGTACCCTTATTTTCCTTTTTGATTTTTTCAACTTTTCCAGGCTGAATTAATTCCGGAAAATCCAATTGTTATTTTAGCAATCACTGATTTAGACTCTTATTACAATATTGCTGGACCACATGGAAATTATTTAAATTATATTCAATCAACTATTAAACAACCTTTCACTGTTATGAAACAATCAACAATGAATAATATTAATCTTATAGATATTATGCAATGTGCTAAATCTATTCTACCTGATGGTTGGGAATTAACTACTGAAGTGATACGTGATACAGTTTCAGTAAGCATAATAATGAATATTTGTTGATATAAATAATTATATACATAATTCAGAAAGCAAACTTATGCATCGATTTCATTTGTATTGATTGCATGGGGCTGTTTTTTTGTATATATGGATCTTGTTCACCTTGCCTTGAGTTTGTCATTAATTTGCGAGTATGGTGGCTAACCGTAGAAACAACAAGTAATCATTACAGATGAACTAAAATTCACTGCATTGCATAAGCCAATGGTTCTCTGAATTTCATATCTCATTAGATAACGTGATGGCCGTTCGAAATGAAATTTATTGGGTTTAGTTATCGATGTGAACATCCATATAACGAATGCCAAATAAGACGAAAGACACGTAATGGATTCCTTCTGTTAACCACCGTCCAACTTCTAAATACATCGATTTGTTTACATCATTATGAGTCACACCTATCGTGTAAAAGTTATGATATTCATGCCGTCCAGCTACAGGAGATGTAGTCTGGTTCCTACCGTCTAAACAATAAATTCATTTCTATGAACGTCACTAAAGTCGATTAGTACAAAATACAAAAGTTGAATATCTATCACCATGTCTGTCTTCCATAACATGTTGATTATCGAAGATTTCGTCGATACAACCTCATTTATGGTCAATGTATATCTGAGTTTTTCATTCTTCAATGCATTAGTTTTGATGTGAAGGACGATTGGTTACTTAATAGTAGCCGATTTTCCACCGTGAAGTAAATGCTAGGCACTTATTCAACTTGAAACATACTAATTGAAAGTCAAGTACTCCTCTATTTAAGACACTATGCTTACGTAACTTCCAGACAAAGGAATTACTGTCATATCATTGAAATAACTAACAATGTAGATGTCTATGTTTTATCACTTTCTATTATTTGTTAACTATAATTTTAACAATTACGTTTTTTCCATTGATCTTACGTTCACTGTCCCCTGTCCTCATTTAGTTATTGTGTAGAAGTGGTCATTTTCTCTTTTTTAAATTATTTCCACGTTCGATTGTGTAATTTAAAAATAGCATTTAACAGTAGACTGTTAATTGTCTTCCTACTATTGTTGTTTCTAGATTTTGATATGTTAATATAATGTGTCGCATTGAATCAATTCACCTATTATGCCCCAGGTTCTATGGTGATTATATATGACTGATTTTATAATCCTTAGATCAGTTAATACTGTTTAATCAACATGAAAATGACCGCTTTTACTGATGATATTTCCGTGAAATGTCGTCAAAAGACATTGTACATATACCTCATCTATACACGTAGTGTATTTAAAATAATAAGACATATTTCACATCATTTAGGAGTGATAATGAAGGAGAAAATGTTAGTGATTGAAATATTTCCTTTGCCAAATTATCTTTTAGAAGGGATGTCTCAATTTCTGTAATGGAGTATCTGTGCATTATTATTATTATTAATACATCATAACTTACACATGCCGGTTACTTCTCGTGGAGCAAAGGCCACTGATCAGGATTCTCCAACCAAATCTTGTGCTCTCCTTTCCATTTTCCACAATTTCTGTTCATTCTTTCGATGTCTGCTTCCAATTTCCGGAGCAATGTGTTTTTTTGGTCTGTTAGTTTTCCTTTTGCCTTCAGGATTGCAACTTACGATTCGCCTTTTGATGCAGTTTGATGGTTTCTGCAAAGTGTGTCCTATCCCTCTTAAACTAAATGTTAGTTTGTTCTCTCCCACAGTAGGTTGTTGCTGATGGTGTCCGGTCGGCTGACATTGAGTATTTTGCGTAGACAATTGTTTATAAATACATGTACCTTTTCGATTATGGCTGTAGTAGTTCTCGAAGTTTGAGCTCCGTATGGTAGAACTGTATTGACGTTCTTATTGAAGATTCTGACTTTGATGCTTGCTGACGGTTACTTTGAGTTCCATATGTTCTTCAGTTCTAAGAATTATGCCCTTACTTTGCCAATCTGTGCCTCCATATTTGCATAAAATCCTCCTTGATTATCAATTATAGTGCCAGTGTCCATCAAAGTTTCCACCTTTTCCAGAGCTTCTCCATCAAATGTGACTTAATTGTTGCTCATTGTGTTAAGCAGCCTTGTATGATACTGATTTTCAGTTGGAATGGATCTATGCTCTGGCCTATGTGCACGTCCGTCATATGAATACTGTATAGTGTTGAAGATCTCAGGCACACCATTGCGTCGAAGAAGCTTCCACAAGATTCTCTTATCCATGCTGTCAAATGCTTTCTCTTTATTTATTTATTTGAACACATAAATATCGGTACAAGAGGGCACCAAATATATATGCGCCACACCATATTTGTGTGTGTGGGCTGTGATACTGCCCGGGTGCCCAGACCGTAGCAGGTGGTTATCTTAGGGGGCCACACCCCGAGCCTTTGACCTAAGGGTCTAACCCACAAGGCAGTGGAGCATCGTGAGGAGATGCAGTCCTATGGTAGCCATTTGTTCCCGCAGGATACTGGAGCCTATGTGCACCATTGGTTTGGGATCCGGTTAAAGCACCGTACATTCGCCTTTCGTCCTCTCATTTTCGTAAACAACACCCTTGCCACGAGAAGGCAGTGAGTAGGACTTCTCTAACAGTGGCTGTGTACTCATGGTCATGTGAGAGCATTTCGAGAGGGAGGGAGGGCCCCACCTCACTCTCGGCCATACCAGGGCATTGGGGGCTAGTCAAGGAAGTTGATGTACAATGACGCTTACTATTCACTTGATTATATAATAACTAACTTATTCTATGCTCTCTCATATTCATCATTTCTACTTCTTGTTTTTATATCTTTTCACACACACACATATATATATGTATATTTTGATTCATTTAGATTCCACCGGATAATATTGACCTGATTATATTTTCAAGACAGCCAATACATGATTCTTCTGATCATCATATTAAAATTAATATTAATATGAATTCAGTTGAAATAAAAAAGCGACCAGTATTTGTTAATGTTATAAATTATACTAATCATGCACAAACTATTAAAGTACAATTATGTGATTCAAATAATCAATGGTTTGTCCATAGTGTAGACGATTTACTACGAAAGGTAATTCAATCATTATTAAGTTTAATGTTTGTATTTTAAATAAAAGAGATTTGATGTGTTCATTAGGTATGTTGTATCAGTCTACTTTTCAATAATAAATTTACATAATCTAACGATAATGAGATCTGAATATTTTGAACATTGTTGTCTCTAAGATACTTCTTGTTATGTGTCCTTTGGTCTATCTACCCACTTTTGGTGTTGAGGGTACTTACTTAAGTAATCCAGATTAAGACCTTGACGCAATAGGCTGACCGGTTCAACCCTGAGGCTAGTGCGCGTGAGTTGGAGGCGGAGTAGAGAGAAGAAAACTATTCTATCACCTGATTGGCTGACAAGCACGAGAATGAGAGAAGACAAAACAACTGGAACACTATTCGCTCTATTCCGATATACTGATTTCCTGTGAAATCTCTGAATTCAGATTAGTGTAAAAAGGTACATGAATAAGTAGGTGACTAACCCGACCACAACGTACAATAATCAGGAAAAATATAATTATGTCTAAAGCTGGGAATTAGAGTAGAAAATAGGGTGCAAAATATTATGTTTAAATTACAATGGCTTCGAAACAGTCAGTGTTTTACAAGCTTTGAATGAACTGGAATAACGTTCCGAAAAATAGCATTCGTAGTTTGTCATGGCTTCTTGTTTCCCTGTTCACATCACTTCTCATTAATGATAAGAACATTGTGTAAATGTTAATCAAGTGGGACAGTTTTATCTTGATCATAGTCCCTGAATTTTGTATGTATATTTTATCATCGTAAATAAGCAATACAGATATTTATCACTTATTATATGTAGTGATGCGTTAGTAATGAAAACATTTGACTTTTGAACATCTACTTCGATTTGAGAAATCAGATCGTATCATTAGCCTTAACATTTCAATTGTAATTCGAATTCTTGTAAATGAATTTGTTGTCACTTTAATATTTCTAGTATAGGGGTTGTGGAGATTATTAAGTTTTTGATTGAGATCATGAACCGATTGATGTTAGAGCATCACAATTGAAAACCTGGAAGCACTGGACGGCCGTTTCGTCCTATTGTGGGACTCCTCAGCAGTGCGCATCCACGACCCCGCGAGCGGGATCCGAACCCAGGGTCTTCAGTCTCGCGCGCGAACGCTTAACCAACTGGACCACTGAGCCGGCATCCAATGGTGATAGTTTCTAACATCAACCAATCCACGAAATTGCTCGACCAACTTCCATTGTACTGAGGTAGATACCTGTTTCTACCCGACATGGATTAGCTCCACTGATCACGGCTTCTCACTAGAACTCCGAGGATTCCCTCATGAAGCTAGTCACTGGTTAGCACATGTTGATTACTAGTATAGGTCCAGTTGGTTAAGCGTTCGTGCGCGAGACCGAAGGCCCTGGGTTCGGATCCCGCTCGCGGGGTCGTGGATGCGCACTGCTGAGGAGTCCCACAATAGGACGAAACGGCCGTCCAGTGCTTCCAGGTTTTCAATTGTGATGCTCTAACATCAATCGGTTCATGATCTCAATCAAAAACTTTAATATTTCTTGATCCTATGAACTACTTATAGAAGAAGTAGTCAGTTTATAAAATAATTCAGGAATATGTAATTATTACATTTCATTTGATTCATTACAACTTCTTAAGTGTAACTCTTAAACATTGTATAACTCAATATACTTTTCTGATGTTATAAGACATCTTTCAAACTAGAAGTAATCAGTGATCTTGATATTCTTCATTCTTCGTAAATAGTAAAATTCATGTGATATCAGAGTAACCTTCATGATAATAATCTTCTAATGTAAAGTTAATTAGTGTGTAGATGTGTTATAAGTAAAAAGAATAATGTGAACTGTTTAGATATTGTACACCCACATTTTTTTAAAATATCATTTTGGTATTGATCAACTGTGTAGCACATTCACATTCTAGATGTTCAACTAGATATGACTAGAATCAAAATTAGATTGTGACAAAATACAAAACAAACAATGATGTGTGTATGTTACAATCTAGATTATGTAAGGTAACAGTCATACCTGTCTGTCTGCACCCGGATACATCAATTTTGTTCGTACAACAGAAGAGTACAATCTTCTTTACATATTTAACTAATGGTATGCTTTTAAAAAAATAGCCAAATGAAGTCAATCGATGGCAATCAAAAATGACTTGAAGGAAAAGTGCATATCTTTGACTAAAAAAATCGATTGAATTCTTATAGATGTGAGTTTTTCTTTTCTCATTCTGTTCGGTAGCCCCAATATCTTTTCTGGTATTCTTGATCAAGTGATCAGTTGGAGGTAGTTGTTGGCCATATGTAACACATCGTGTATCAGATTTCCGATATTGGCCATCATAACATTTATCTATATATAACAATTGAGTAATCTATATGTTATGATTTGTTTTCATTTATTCATTTCTATTTTGTTTATATTTATAGGTGAAATGTGCTTTTGGTTGGTCGACCAATATCAATTTACAATTGTACACTGCATTAAATACTGATAATATAAATGATTTAAAACCATTTGTACATGTTCCAGCTAATCAATTGATTAATTTGGACGGAATCACTTTGTATGCTTCTGTTTAATAAGACATTGTGTTATGAATAATTATTTATTTATATATTTCTTTAATAAAAATGAAGTGCTTCGGATATAAAAACAGAGTTTCGTTCAAAAAGTAGATCTGTTTTATTTTGATCATTACAGAATTTGCGATATAATGTAACTACAAAATATAAATATACCTCGTATTGCCCCCGATTGCTCTGATATGGCCGAGAGTGCAAAGCCCGCTCTCCATTTCGAAATGCTCTCACATGGCCATGCGTATACAGCCACTGTTAGGAAAGTCTTACTCACTGCCTTCTCGCGGCGTGGGTGTTGTTTACGAAACTAAGAGAACGAAAAACGAATGTCCGGCGCTTTGACCCTGTTGTGGGTACGGAGGACTCACCAAGGGGATTTGGAAAACTCTAATTCCAAATCAATGGTGCACATCGGCTTCAATATCCTGAGGAAATAAGTGGCATATGAACCTATTGTTGGTCATCGACTACCATGAGGTTGTGTCTCCTAAAGTTGCTCCACTGGCTTGTGGATTACATTTTTAGGTCAAATGTTCGGGGAGTGGCCCCCTAAGGACACAACTCACTTCGATTTGAGTGCCCGGACAGTATTACAGCCCTCACACAAATCGAATGGTTTGTGTGGCCCATACGTACTTAGTGCCTCCTTGTACAAATGTTTATGTGTTTAAATAAATCAATGAATTGACCTCTTTTTGGCGGCTACCAGTTAGCGCATATATTACACATACCTATTCATCACTTACCCCGAAATACATTACTATCCGATATGAGGGTTAATTGAAAGAAGTGGTCAACTTTGTGCATAATATCAATCCATGAAGTTATTGGCAATTGGAATGTTCCTTTTGTTAGAAGGCATAGAGTGGTTATTTGGCGTCAGCTTAGTCATAATAATACATGGATGAAGATGTTCGGATGGTAGTCTTGAAGTCAAAATTATCTCCCATCTTTTAAATTACGAGTTAAGTCTCGCTTCATAATCTCATACGTCCAAAATAATATACTTTGTAAGCTGTGTTCTTAGTAAAACACTGAACAATAAACACACTTCCAGTCTTCTTGCTCTTTAAAATTCAGATGATTTTTAAATCGTTATTCTGTTAACACCTATACACAAGCTTACAAGATTTATATGAAGTCGTTTATAGTTATGGATGCTGAGGAATAATGTGCCAATCATTATCATGTTAAGCCTAATGATGTCCTTGGACGTTAAATGGGCATTCCCTATTGGCCGTTATTTATTTCACTCATTAAATATTGTACAGATGTTGTTTTCTATTTTTATGGTACGATGTGGTCTGTTTGGTTAGTATATAAATAGAGTATGTCTGAAATATAATGATTCATATCTCAGAGGCTATGACTTGCGTTCTAGACTCAACTGGCTGGGCTAGACAGGGAAGCGGCACCAATCGGGACTCTAGGTCGTTCATACGTGTTTTCCGTGTGATTGTAATCGATCGATAAATATACGCTGCTTATCATAACCTGCAGTCCACCCGTTACAACATTTATAAACATATTTACTCCTTTGTAATGCATCCAAAAATGGATTGAATTTGCATTGAGGTTTAGTATGATCTTTCGTGAAATTTTTTGATCAAACTTGGAAAATTCATCAACCATTTCTATTTTGGTGAAAGATTTTTTTATTTAGTCTAATTAATGAATGGTATTTAGATTTCACGGTATTTTATGACATTCCAAAATGTCGATGGTGTGATAAATTATCTAACTGTTGGACATCACTCATTTTATTGAAATCATGAACTGATCTAAGTTAAACAACAAGTGCAAACATTGAAGCACTGGATGGCTGTTTCATCCTCGTATGTAACTCAGTATGGTGCATCTGCGCAGACGAACGATATCCACAAGCCTACAATGAGAGCTATAATGTGCTGACTAGCATTGAGAGGAAATTTCCGGAATTTTAGTGATAAGTGAATAGTAGAGTTCAACCGTGGCCTAAACATTCAGAGTTATTACTAATGAATTCACTGTCCACATAATTATCTTATATAAAATTTATCTTTTTAATTTGATCTCGTCGTTGGATAAACATATTTTTGTCTGGGTCAACGTTGATGATGACTTAAAGGGGAAATTTCATATAGATTCTTCGTTTAGGATAAATATGATTGACCGTTTGTATATCATTTTGAACTCATCAGTTCAACAATGATTATGTAATAGTTATTGTTCCCTACACAAATTATAACCAAAAAACTATGAGTACTGAGAAATTGTTTGATTGTTCTGAAACTCGTCAAGAATACATTCGTTCCGCTTCCCGACACTTTTCAATAACGAATCAATACTGTGACTGAAAACCAATAAATAATTGAACGTTAGTTCCTAGTCATTGATCAAGCGGCGTGAGTATAGCATGGAAACGATAAAATATACGAAAAATAGAATTCAGCGAACAAGATTTTCTTTTCGGCGAAATCATTTACTTAAGCTGTATATTCGTATATATAGGTTTATGGAAAATGTATGCCTATAGGAGGATAGAAAAAATTGCATCACCAAAATGGATTGGATGATAAATAACAAATGAGATTATGTACTAAACAAGGAGTAAGGAAGAAAATCGTTGAATTCTCTTTTTCTTATTCAATGACACTATGGGTTATTTTGATAAAATATACCTTAAACTATTGATGAGTAGTATATATCTAAACTTAATAAATGTACTTACCTTAGTTTGATGCGATTGAACAGTAATGAATAAGAACGAATAGTTTCACAATATTTGAGCGCCGAGTTAATGTGAGACATTAAAGACTTTTTCCAAGGAAAAGCTTGGACCAGATTGCCAGGCGAAACGTCGGATTTACTTTTACATATACATTCTTCCTACTTACCTTTGGTTACATTATGTATCAAGTTTTTCTAATATGAATGTGGGAGTTAAACTCAGATAATAAATTAATTAGAAGAATTTTAATAATACAGTTAGAAAGTGTGTATATTTTGTCCCTGGTACGGCAAAGAGTGGGGAGAATCCCCTCTTCCTCTTGAAATGCTCTCACACGGCCACGTGTATATAGCCTCTGCCAGGGAAGACCTACTCACTGCCTTCTCGTGGCAAGGGTGTTGTTTACGAAAATGAGAGGACGAAAAGCGAATGTACGGCGCTTTAACCGGATCCCAGACCAAATCACTGGTGCATATGGGCTCTTGTATCCTGCGGGAACAAATGGCGTATGAACCAATTGTTGGTCACCGGCTACCATGGGACTGCGTCTCCTCACGATGCTCCACTGCCTTGTGGGTTAGATCTTCAGGTCGAAGGCTCCGGGTATTACCCCCTAAGAAAACCACCTGTTTCGGTTTAGGCACCCGGGCAGTATCACAGCCCTCACACATATCGAATGAGATTTGTGTGGCGCATATGTATTTGGTGCCTCGTTGTACAAATATCTTTGTGTTAAAATAAATATATATTTTGTTTAATTTCAAGGGTAATTATCTGAATTTTCCTCTTTTTATTGGCACTCCAATTAAAACAAGTTATAATCACTATGCGATACACGTAATTTTGATTGCTATTTAACTACGTGCAACGTACACAGAAACTATCGGGTTGATCTATCATGATTTTAATTTTCACAGTTTATTAATAAAATAGATACGTAAAACCTTAGTGAATGTTCAATAAATTTATTTCCCTACTTCATTTCTTTTTGGTGTGATGCTCATATTACTTGTAATTATTAAGTAGTGTGAGTCGCATTGCAGCCTTTTATTGGTAAATGCCACTGCTTTAAATATATATATCTGTTATCTCTGTTTGATGCTTCCAATCAACCAATTAAGATACTCATGGATAATACTGAAATGACAAGCACGAGTTTTGCTTGAAATACATTTCTAGTGTCTATGAGAATAGAAGCATGTATTTACAAACTTCAATTCATGAAGTGCCTCTGGAGTTTACTGCATCAACGTATAGTCAAAGAATAAACACTTCCTACGATAGTTATACAGGAAATGTTTACAGAACATACTATTGGCTGTGTAAAAGCTATTAGTCTTGTTAATACCAGCAACAGTTGGGGCGAAAACCAAGAATATATAGTGCATAGGAACTGTTACAGATAAACAATTTTTCAATGAATACAAGAAAACTTCATCGTAACTGTTGGAGATGTGAAGAGAACAGAATTAAACTAATAGATGGATTGAACGTTACAGTTTCGTATGAATAGTTATAAATTAACTTTAACACCGAAGAGTAATTATACAGTATGTGCTCTTTGATGGCTAACAGTGAAATGATGAACTTTTTCCCAAATTAAGGATCGGTTGGAGATTGTTGTCAGGATATCCTGTTTGATCTAGTTTCTGAGCTAATTCACACTCATCAGTTATACATTACGAGATTGTTACTCCTTACAGGATTCGAACCTAGGTCTCCTAATTTCACAATCTGAGATGTAACCACTGAGTTATTCGAGCCCGTAACCATTTCTTGTAGGACTGAGATGTTATCATTTGATTGATCATAATGGTGATGTTTGAATGTGAAACTGGGTAGTCCGGGTTCGAATACCAGTCCCCTGAATATTATAGTATGCCTTACTGACGAGTGCTAACTAGAACGGAGTCTAGATCAATCACGATTTTCTGCCGATAACGTCCAACCACCTAATATTCTAACATAGTTGACGCGATGCTGAGTCACTTTGACTAGAGGTCACATTATAACTTGATTATTAGAGTTCAGTCGGTATTCCTAAAAAATTAGACGAACATGACATTGGTCATTACCCAATGATCAATCATTTGTGGGGGGTCCCAAACTACCTCGTCAAAGTTTCTAGAGGCTCGGAAACGCTAAGAAACGTTTTATATAATTAACCTTGAATAGGAGCTTTGTATAAACGTTTAGAAAATGACGAGCCACATATCACGGCTCTGATGAGATATTTACGCGTACAGTTACTATATTTATTACGGTTCCAGGAATTTCTGGAATATCAAGG